GCCAGCTCCTCACAAAGGATTCATCCTGCCAAGAAATAACTCAGAATTAGTCATCACCAAGAGGGTAACATCTTGACAGGAAAGACAGAACAAGCATCAGTCATATCCCACATCTGCTTACTCCACCCTTGCTCCCCTGTTTCATTCCTCAGAATGCCTCTCAAGACCAGGAGACACAAGTCTCCTATCATTCATCTGTCTGTTTAGTGCAAAAGATAGAAAGTCAGATATATAATGGGGATAGATCGACACTCTAACACAAATATCAATCTCTCTCTCCCCTCCCCTCTGCCCACAGACACCAATATTTACTGTCAGTACCTTTATTCCTTACGACTCCCAAAGTCAGTCCCACCATTCATTGATCTGGGTCAAACACACTCACACACTGGCTAACAAGGTCCTGACCCAATTCTGTCCCCATTTTGTATGCACAAACTTCTGTTGTTAGTTTAAATAGTACACACTTGTAAGGTTATTAGGTTTACCAGTATGGGTGGGTTATTTATGGCATAGGCTATTTAGTCTGTACAGGGGAAGGTCTACGTTCAAATCCGCTTCTCTAGCGATCAAGAACGGTCGACCTATGTGTGATCCCACAGCCGATACTGATCTCTCTACAGCAGTAACTACTTTAACAGACATCATTTTAGGTACTCGTAAACTATAATTAACTTACCCCAGCATATGAAAAGTCCGAGACATTCCAGATTGCCTTATGAAAGTGAAATTATACAGGCATCGATTGACACGACTGGACGCTAGGAAGCCGGCAAGAGAGAATGCCGCCAATTAGGCCTTTCAGGCGTTGGTAAAAAAGGAGTTCCTAGTATACATGGGCAAGGAGTAAATCGGTTTCTAAGAAACCTCAAATAACTCCTCTAATATATATCCAATATATATATATATATATTTAAAAGTGGAGTTTAGTTAAAGCAACTAGAAAATGTAGACATAATAATGTTGTCCAATAAAGGCATATATATATATAGATATAAGGGACTATATCTTTCTGGACGAGTCCAAGTTTGAATTTTGTGCGGATTACAGGTAGGTCAAGTTACCAGTCTTACGGACTGATGCGTAATGGCTTATCATTCCACGACTGGAGGGGGGAGGAGCGGGGGAGCAACCAACAGCACCTTTGACACAACGCGTCCCTGCCCAGTCCAGATTTAAGGTTACTATAATACTATAACAACGATTGCTTGAAATAAGCTAATGAAAGTAGATCTGTATATACAACAGTAAGAAAGAAATAAACACTGTTCTTTGGCCACACAATGAGAAGAGAGACATTGGAGAACATTGTGACAACTGGACAGATCAGTGGGAAAAGGGTTAGATGTAGACCAAGAGAGATAATGCTGGATGGACTGAAACGAAGGCATGGAGGAATACTCACAACTGAGCTGTTCCAGGCAACCAGGGATCGTTGTGTGTGGAGATGCATGAGTGCCTGCGCCAGTTAGCAGGGCACATGATGGTGATATAAATTTCTGCTGCCCCAGTATAACTGTTTGACGGAGGATGACCTAGAAAGAAAAATACAGGGCAAAGAAATAAGCTCGGCCAACTCCAGATATATATTGATCTGGTTGTGGATAAAAGGAACACATGGGGACAAAACAAGAAGGTGTAATCTGTACATCAGGATAGAGACACAAAGCAAGAGAGCTGGGCACATACCATAATCTCAGCCAAAAAAGAGGCGCAAATAAACTAGACCATAATTATAACCGGAGACTGTTTGCAGCTTCGGCTACCAACAGCAGATTGAACGTGGTTGATATATATATATATATATATATATATATATATATATATATATATATATATATATATATATATATATATATATATATATATATATATATATATATTTGTTGTTATCGATCCAGCGGCGCATGAGCTTTCGCCCTTTGGCCCAATGCCATGTAGTGGAATTTGCATGTTTTCACAAGCGGTTCTTTTCCTCCGTACAAAGTGTTCCACTTGTCTGGTCTCGGAGGGAGTAGCGTTTTTCTTGTCTCACTGAGTTTTGGGCACTCAAAGAGATGGTGTTCAACAGTTTCGTAGGGGTAGTTACATAGCTGGCACTCTGGGGAGTGTTGTGGCTGTATTCTGTTAAGATGTCCATTGAGTGGAATATGTTGCGTTCTAAGTCTGAAGATGATGGCATGGTCCCTTCTTGTTAGATGGTTAATGCTGTCATTAGGATCAGAGCCAGACATATGTCTATAAATCTCTCTTCCAGTGTCTCCCATGGCCCATCTGTTCAACCAAGTCTCTTTATTTATAGCTCTTATAAGTGTTTTTGCTGTCTGGAATTTCCGAAAAGCAAACTGGAAACTATTTCAGGAAACATCTGACTGCCTCCTGGGAAGAATTGACAACAGCTGTGTGGAAACTTTTTGTGAAGACATAACACAAGCAATCCTGAATGCAGCGTCGAAAGCCATCCCAAGGGGCAGCCGGAAGGCATATAAACCTTTTTGGAATCAAGAAATTCAAAATACTATATCTGAAAGGAATAAAGCTAGAATATTGCTCGAAACTGCACGTTCAACAGAAGCAAAGATTCAAAACAATAAAGCATGTGCCAGAGTAAAGCTTGTAGTTAATAAGGCTAAAAGAGATAAATGGATAGAAACTTGCTCCAACTTAGACCTTAGACAGAATAGAAATAAAGCATGGACTTTAGTTAAAAACTTCTCCGGAGAAAGTAGAAAGGTGAACCCAAAACCAGTGACAGATGGGAGTAAGACAATCACTGATGACAAGAAGAAAGCAGAACATTTCAATCATTATTTTGCCTCAGTTAACAGAGCAGGTAAGCTGTCAGAACTCGATAGAACACAGCTCTCTCAGTTGAAGAAACAAGAGAGAGCTCCAACAGCCAGTGACTCCCTTTTTGAAGATGAATTTAGCATGAATAAATTAGAGCAAGCCTTGAAGAAATTAAAACCTGGGGGGGGGGGGGGGAGAAAAAAAAATATATATAAAATGATGATGATGAAGTATAACTTAAAAACTTCAGTCCGATATTGGACACCATTCTATCAGAGACTTTTACTGAGTGTTACATACTACAGTCTGAGCCTCCTTGCTCTCGGTAGAACACAGAAAGACTGGACCGGGTACAAAATGAGGCCATGAGACATACTCGGCTGCACAAACTCGTGCCAGGCCATGCGGTATGTCCTGGGTTTACTGACGATGGCCACCAGAAATAAAGTGACACAGGTGAAAGAGTACGCGAGGATATCAACAGATATCAACCAACCCCTATACAACGCCATCAATGATATACAAGGAATGTGTCTTAAAAGAGGCTTCTCCTGGATGGTCGAGGTAGATAATCTAATTCAGCAAGTATATGCTGATATCATCAACGCTGTACGGATTAGGCTGGGGAATAATGGCGAATCTCTGACGCTAACACGACTGCATCACCGAGGGGTCAAGCTCGGTTTAGACGCTCTTCGAGGTAAAGACAGCAGATACTATAACTAACTCCTCATAGGAACAATCGGTACAGGTACCTTGGAGTGGCTGCTGCATCAGAGGACTGAGCACGCATGGGGATGCCCAATGTGCAAAGACGTCGACTGTGATAACATAACATACCTATCTACCGACTTTTTACACATAGAAGGGTACTTAATTTATAACTTACCCCTGATGTCAAGACAACGTCACGGGAGACATTCCCAATAAATTCTAGGGTGTCCAGGTTGTAGTTTCTCGCGACCTATCTACAGCCAAGTTTAACGCATGGGGATGCCCAATGTGCAAAGACGTCGACTGTGATAACATAACATACCTATCTACCGACCTTTTACACAGAGAAGTATACTTTTGACTACTAAGGCAAAGGGAATTATAACTATTGGTAATAAACTTTATGCTATCTGTGTCAAATATTGACTTTTACTACAATGAAAAAGCGTAAAATCATAACTACACAGATGAAACGTTTAGTCCATGCGTGGGTTCTGGTTCTGTGGTCCTATACCTACTGCCAGTTGAACGTAAAATGCGACTAATTCGGAGTGCGTCTGTCTGAGAAGCCATGAGCAAACAGACAACTTACAAATAAGCCAGATCTGTCAAGCAGATGTGCACGCAAAACTCAAGTTCTGGGACAAGACTCAAGTTTACATGTGGACGAACAATCAAAACTTTCCACTGGAAAGAAAGAATCTTTTAGAAGAGCTGTCCACTTATCAAGTGGAGATCAAATTTAAAAAAAAAAAAAAAAAAAAGCGAAGACCGTAGAATACTTACTCATTCAGTTCATCAAATCGCAACGAAAAAGTCATGGAATCATTTGACACAGCCAGGCTGAAGAAATGAAAGGGACACAGGGCAAGAAGAGGAACACGCATAGTATATAACAATTGTATTAAGAACAGCCCTAACGAACTGACGATTATCTGATGAAATGCCTTAGAAAAAGCACACGTACGATTAGACCTAGTGGTGTAGAAAGGTGTGGGGAGGGGGCGCGCCAATTGTCATTGCTAAGGGTTGACAAAACGGCAAAAATGTGTGTTGTTTAAACATTAAAAATAGTGTGTGTGTGTGTGTATGTGAATATGTGTGTTTGTATGTTTGTGGGTGTGAGGAAGTGAGTGTGTGAGTGAGTGGGTGTGTGTGTGTTAGCGCGTGCGAGTGTGTGAGGAATGTGTATATATGTGTGTGTGAGTGTTTGTGTGTTGGTCTGGGTAAGTGTGATGTGTGTGTGCGTGCCTGTGTGGGTAAATAAATGGTGCGTGTGTGTGTATGTATGTGTGCGAGTGTGCATGCGTGTTAGGGGCATATTTTTGCACCTAGTACCAACTAACTTTGCAATACCCCCCCCCCCATCCTAACACTTCAAAGAGACAGCTGGAGGAAGAGGAAAAGAAGGAGAAGAACAAGCAGAGGAAGAAAGCGATATTCTAATTATTTTAAAGAAGAGCTCGCGCCATCTCGCGGTGCCGAGAAAAACAAAAATGGCGGACGAACAGGTGATTACGGTTTGAAAACAAACTAACAAAAATCTCTTACAGGGGGGTTTTACATCCACAAAAATTACTGTCTCTTAATTTACAGATATATATAGAATCAGTGTACACTATTTTAGGTTAAGAAAATATATTGGATACGCTAGATACTTTTCCTCCTCAAAATAAACAAGCAGTTGGCGCGCGTCTCACTGGTCTGCATGGAAAAAGGTCCATACAGGGATGGCTGGACACTAAACGTGTTTTAGAGAATTTTAAGTTAATGTTAGTTTGAAACTGCAAATGAAGAATTAGCTGAAAAGAGTTAGCCTCACGTGTATGTCCCGAACGCGATAGGGCTGTTAAGATATCTCTGGCTCAAACCTTTGTCGAGGAAAAGCATGGTTTGTCATCATGGTAAACTCAAACTGGGGGATGTTTGTCGCCATGTTTACTACTGGCACTATGTAAATATGAGACTTAAAGAAAGGGTACCGTTTGTAATTTGTATCCCAGAAGATTTAGCAGCAGAAATCCAAGAGATTAATAGCCTGTGTCAAAAATCATCTGTCCGTTACTTTTTAAGAGACTCCAAGCACAGTGAAGATATTTACAGAGCAAGAAAAAACATTTTGTGATTTCATTTTAGTATGACATGAGTTTCTTTGAACTGAAGACCAAACCTTAAAATGTGTACCTTGTGAGAAAGAGACCCTTGATAAACAAACAGTTGGGATTCAATGAGAAGTATGACATTATGCATCATTTGGGACCCAGTCTAGAATTTAATCTCTGCACAATCAGTCGTAACGGTCTCAGGATGTGTAACAAAGAGTAAAGACATTTGCAACTGAAAGCAGAATAATTTATAAAAGTACACATGATTCCCCCACCCCACCCTGTTTAGTTACTATTTGATCACTCTTTGCAGCACAGAAATGGGCTAGCACCATAAGTGCCCCAACCAACTCATTAATTAACAGAATCTAGGCACACATGGACATGAATATTTCTAACCTGACAGAACTCCCTTCACCCCATCCTTGTAAATTCTGGAGAGGCAGTAGAAGACTGACAATGGATGTGGAAAAATTAAATAACAAGAGAAGTATAATACAAATCAAAATTTTCATCAGAATATTACAGCAAAAAGTTAGTCAGGATTGCGGACATTTGCTTTAGATTGGATAGAGAAGATAAACGAGGAGGGTCAATTCTTCTTGATTGTCGGATAATGGATCAAATGTCAAGCATTCTTGGATGAGGGCAATTAACTAGGAGTCCATTGTGTACATGGCTGCATTGATAGGTTTCTTGAAAATAAAAAAATCTAGACTGAAAAAACCACGTCTGCATATGATGTTTAGCACATGCACACATACGTAATATTCATAACATGTGATACTGTTAAAAAAAATCATAACAGTGAGCAGAAGGTTTGGCACTGTTGAGATTCTCCTTGTGTGATCAATAGAAGCCACTGTCATGTAGCGGCTAGATGCTCGCCTTTGGATCTGAAGATCCTGGGTTCAAATCCAAATGATGCCAGACTTTGTTAAAAAAATATTATCTTGGCTCCCAGGCCAACCCAGCCTTTAATGGGTACCAGGTAAAGTCATAGGAAGTAAAGGTGGCCGCATGACGTTGACCACATGACATTAACCACATCACCCACCTAATGCTAATTGGTTTTTTAAAATGAAGGTCTAGCACTATATGCCCAATATGCCTAAAGGCACAGAAAAGGGTACTTGATGTGATAATTAGAACAAAGCTAAAATACTTGTGGAGATACATGACTGCCTTCAAAGGGATCCTTTGCAGACCAAGCAAATGTCTAGTAGCCTCATTACATTCTATAATCTAGACACTTAATGTCATTGTCTTCTGACTAAACTAAATGTTCATAATTGTAATTGGGTCAGTCTGTTCAGTAGGCCTATAAAAAATATAAGCTTGCATGATCTCCTCAGACCCATTAAGTTATCAAAAAATTCAGGGCTACACTAACACACAGCTCAACACATTTCTAGTTTTTTTTTTGCAAGGCAAAATTCAGATTTCTACACTAAACACAAAGTTTTCTAGTTTTTTTAAAAACTGATCAATGAAAATTCACACCCAGTGACATAATATATACAGATAGGTCTGTAGTGAAGGTGAGAAGAGTGGGGAGGGGTTTTATTGCAAAGGTAAATGAACACTGCTTCAAAACAGAGAGCCTAATGTACAACGCCACGACATCCAGTATGAGAATGGAGGTGGAGGCATTAACGGCAGCTTTCCAATGGTTTGAGAGCAGCATCGCCTGACGTTGTGATTGTAACAGACTCACAGAGCAAGCTTCTGAAAATTCAGACTTTTTATCCTGCGCGCAGAGTGGCTTGCATCACTTCATAAGACCCAGCTCAGGAGCATGTATGGATTTTCTGTCCAGGATATTCAGGTGTGGGAGGTAACAAGTGCACTGATAGATTGACTGCTGCCGCTCTTCTGAAGAGTGAGCTACAATATGATTAAGCATATGTGGTGAAGGCTTCAAGAGATCAAATGGTCAGTGCAAAAGAACAGATAGGTAATCCATACACTTGAAAGACTAATTTAAGGGGGTGGGGGGCAAATAGAGGTTCTGAAAGATATTTAACCTGAAGGGGAAACAGAGGTGGACTTTTAATCAGGTTGAAATGGTACTTTTAGCATGTCAGCTGGGTTGCTGAAGAAGTGGATGGCGCACATGTGGGAATGTCCCGAGTGCAATGTCAATTTTTGGCTATCCTCCGAATAACGTTCCCAAATTATCGAGGCCGAAAATATACCCTAACAGGGCCTCAGTCACATGTAAATTGCGGACCTCTTTCGGGCGACTACACAACATACTGCGAAAAGCTTCCGCGAGTTAAAGTCACTGCCTAGGGTATCTCCCACGCCGCTACGCGGGTATAAACTAGATGGCTGGGACTCATGAACAGAAGCTACCGCATCTCCTGCAGCTTTCATTTTTTTGCCCGTGAGTCTCAGCCATCTAGTTTAGCGGCGCGGGAGATACTCTTTGCAGTTGCGGAATAGTTGCCCGAAAGAGGTCCGCAATTTACATATGACTGAGGCCCTGTTAGGGCAAATTTTCGGCCTTGATAATTTGGGACCCTTATTCAGAGGATAGCCTATTTTTTTATTGATTGATTTATTGATTAATTCTTTCATTCATTCATTCATTCTGTTGTTGGGGAAGACAGAAAGGCGCCAACAAATGTAAACAGTGATTATTTAAAAAAATTGTATAAATATTGGGGCAGTCCATGATTTTCATATTTGCATAAACATAGTTGCTGTTTAGAATATGAATGTGTATTGAGCAAACTAATTGTATTGTACCACTGAATATATTTTCCCCCAGGAATTGCAACAGTTAGAAAACTTGTGTAAGCAGCTCTATGAGACTGTTAATGAGAACATTCGTTCGGAGGCAGAGAAGACTCTTATTGCATTTTCCGATTCTCCTGATTGCCTGAACAAATGCCAGCTGCTTTTGGAGAGAGGAAATGTAAGCTAGACTTTACTTCCATTTGTGTGATTCTTTTCTCTTTGGGTTATTTATTGATGCATTTTTGAATTTGTGCAAAGGTAACTTAATCACAAAATCAAAAAGAAACAGTCATAAATTGTGTAGCCATAATAGGAGAAGATGGAAACTGGAACATATTGTGACATCCAGAAAGATATATGGAAAAAGAATTAGAGGAAAACAGCATCAAGATTCTTAACAGCCATTTGTCATGGCGTGGCAGAGTGTCAGCACACAAAGCGATACTTATTCATGGAGATTGCAGGTTTTGGTGAGGCATGGTTGTCGAAGCCAGTCGGCAGGGCAATTGATGATATGTATTTTTTATTGAAAGAGAGTATAAACAGACAGGACATGCAAATTCATATGTTCGCCAAGGGAAATATTCTCTCCAGTCTGTGCTGCTAAAGTACAGACACTAGCTGTTTGCTGGACGTGTGATAGATGGCACAATCCACTGCAAGCAGTTTGTGTTTCTTGCTGATGGAGTGTCTGCTACAGGTTGTTAATAGTTACCAACTGCCAAAGGTACAATTAACATTTAGGGCAGTGAACACCACTTTATTTTAATATTAGATGAAAATTTTAAATTCTTAATTTAATGTCACCATGGTGATTAGCAAATGGTATCAGTTTCTGTGGCTCATTTTGATTAATAATTTGACTGTTTTGAGGATACCTAAATTAATTATAAATCACATTATATATTTCCTAATACACAGGGAGTTATGATTTGTCCTTGGTAAATTGATGGATTACAGTTGACAAAGAAGAAGTATATAAGGAAATTTAACAGTACCAAGAGCATTTGAAAAAAGGAATTCCAGAGAAATTTGACTCAAAAGCTCAACACAAGGGGAAAGCAGAAAAACGTGCACAAAACAACACAACGTAACGTTTCGACAGGGCAGCCTTTTTGGTTTGTGTAGTTCACTTAATGTTTGAAAAAGGCTGCCTGGTCGAAATGCTACGTTGTGTTGTTTTGTGCACGTTTTTCTGCTTCCCCATTGTGTTGAGCTTTTGAGTCAAATTTCTCTGGAATTCCTTGTATTAGCTTGACTGCAGTCACACCCATATTTTCACTGCATTTGAAAAAATCTGGAAAGGTACTGTTAAACTTAGATCTTAGAGAACTAAATGCCGCAAACTGGAGTGATGTCACGTACAGAAAAAAATCAAACATTTGGGGACAGCAGATATCAACACTATACAGACTAGACTGGATGATAGTATAACTGTTCCACCATCTGCCACTCGGTGGATGTGCCTAATAATAGGACAGGCTCCTACCACAGGGTTTAGATAATAGCTTTAATTGATGTTTACAAAAATCTCCCATCATTGTTTTTTCTATCTTTTGTCTAGACTTAATATTTGTTAAGCTCAGTGTTATCAAACTGCTATAGTCCCCGTGTGGGTTTCAGGGCCCTATTGTGAGGAAAACAAAAGTGGACCCACTGCCTCCCCAACAAGCATGTGGTGAGAGTCGACTAATTGGAGGTTCCGTCGAAGTCGAAGTGCATCTGCCTGAGCGGCAAGGAACAACCTGCTGCACAGAAGTAAGCCAGTAAGATGGATGTACACTCAAAAAGTCCCTGGCACAAAGCCAAAGCCCAAATGGATGAACAACCAGGTCTTTCTACTAGAGCTTACAGCCACTAAACAAAGAAAAAGAAACTTATAGTTGAGGCTGATTGCCTTCTAAACTTTTTGGATGTGGCTTGAAATGAAGGACCTGGCTGCATACATTATAAATCCTTTAGCAGTCGGATGTGGAAACTAGAGGAAGTGGACGATTTTCAACATGCTCCCACCAGGTACACTGAAGGAAGTGGTATTTATTGAGTTTTGTGTGTTCACTCATCTGAGCTGTCATAAATAATTTCCTGATTATTTCTGTTTCAGTCACCGTATGCTCAACTACTTGCAGCTACCACATTGACAAAGTTAGTGCATAGACCAAATGTCACCTTACCTGTTGAGCAGCGCATTGATATTTGTAAGTTGTTTACGACTTCATGTTGCTTTTTTTTTTTGCTTTATGGCCACATAATAACATTTTACCAACATTTCTGAGATTTAACATTATTATTTTTGAATTTTATTTTTAAAATATCACTCGTTACTTTCTCTCATAAAATGTAAATATAAAATCTAATATAATAATACTTCATTTTAACCATGTTTGCTTGGGCCTACAGGGCTTCAAATATAATAGTCATTTTTTAATATTGTAGCCAGATTTACTAACTTTATTCAAGGTGTTCTCAGTGTAACTGATAGTTCCTTCAGAGCTTCCGGACAAATGCCATGTTTGCTGAAGGCAATCAAACACCTGTGTTTTTAGATACCAAGTAATTAAGAATAAACTGCATTGAGGGAAAACTCATAAAAGGAAAAGGAGTCACTGTCACCACTGTCTGTTTTACCACTTTTTAGGGCCATGTAGACAGGGGAACCTTGGGCCTGAAGATTTAGGGCGCCTAGCTGGTGCTGTCACCATGGACTGTGCAGGGTAGGATGTTTAGTTTTGCCGCCGACAAAAAAAATTCCAGCCCCCTACCGGGTTGACCTCGGGTCTCCGGCACGAGAGCCCAACGTTATAACTGCTTAGCTGTTGTGGGCCAAACTCACTTTGATGTTCAGTTGTACCAGTCGTAAAGGCGCTAGATGACTATGATGGCAGAAATTTGTTAAAAAAAGTCCACACTACTTGACATGTGAGACAAGTTTTTAAAAAATTAACAGCTAACAGCAAGACTCAAGCCTGGTCAGCCGCTGAGCTGAAGGTTAACCTGTGTCCAGTCATTGCCTCTCAGTCTGTGAGAGAGTCAGGTGTGTGTGACTTTTAGTCGTAATCATGTGTATTATTTTATTATGGTCAAAGTTTAGATTGTTCATTAAAATTTGGTATATAATTCGTAATGCTCCAGTTGAGCGTCTTTAGTGGGGACCAGACGGTGAGAGTCCAACACTTTATTTGCCACTGTTGGGATGAAATCACTGCGAGGACGTGATCGTTCCTTGTTGGAAGACTTGCGACTTGTATCGGGGAGACTTGGTGTGCCAGGTGGAAAGTATCTAGAAAGTTCATTGTGTAGGATTCCTCGTTAGGTCTGGCTTGCAACTGTGTGACGGGGAGACTTGTTGTGACGGGGAGACTTGTTGTGCCGGGGGCAAAGTCTCTAGTCAGTTATTATGTAAGTGTAGGTTTTTGGGGACCCAAAGTGTGGGCACATAACTGAGACATTTCTTTAAGGATACTGGTAACCCGAGGAATGGACCTATAGGCTGATCGTGTTTATGTTGTGGACTCACCTCAAATCAAGGCTAGGTGTTTCCTTTTGAGGTGACACCGCCTTGGAAGCATACCAGTGGTTATCTGGGAGTATTAGACAGACAGTAGTTCTGTAATCTCCAGTTCATCTTCATCATCAAAATATGTTTGCTCACAATAAAGGGACTGATGCACTATTACAGGGATGACTTGTAAGGTGATGTTGACACTGTTATCAGTGTTGGTGGAATGATGTGACTGTGTAAGTGTATTATATGAGCACTCTCTGGTAGGAAACCCAAGTAGTCCTCAGATAGTGGACCTGGAACCTTTTGTAAATATATATACATGGATGAAAGATTAATCTTTTCACCCCTAGACACTTTGCCAGTTAAACGGTCTATACCCCTGGACCGCATACAATAATGGAGACCAAGTTTAGCAGCCCTACACCCAACATCGGCCAGCTGCTTCTTAGAGAAAGGAGTAAAGAAGAAAATGATTGCAGAAAGGTTAAAAGCTGAGCGTCTGAGAAGGAAGCACATTAAATAAATGTTATGGCAACACTAGTCCTGGAATCCCACGCTCTAATAGGGGAAGACTTCTTACCACAAACAGGTCTTGCTAGTGACCCACACCATTGCCCTGGGCTGTGGTTCCTCTGCTCCCTGTAGCACAGTATGAGACTGTTATCTGGAAAGATCTGTCTGCTATGATATAAAGATGTGTGCAAGCAGAACATGAAGGATACAGGTAATGAGGTACATTTGTGGGAACAGAAGGCCATGAACCATGTTGCATGGTGGAAAAGGGGGGGGGGGGGTCGGTCCAGGAAGAGAATGAAAATAAAGAAGAGAATGATTTCAGATACAATGGATAGGTCAAAGCTAAACATATGAGAAGAAGCACATTAAATAAATGTTATAGCAACAGTAGTTCTGAAATCCCATGTTCTAATAGGGAAAGACTTTTTACCACAAGCAGGTCTTGCTAGTGACCTTCTCTATTGCCAAAGGCTGTGATTTCCATGCCTCCCAGCACAGTATGAGACTGTCATCTGGAAAGTTGTAAAGGTGCCAGCATGATCATTGTACGATTCAGAAAGCATTGGTAAATTACTGAATGTAAAACTGCAGAGAAAAACCACACAACACCCTGGGGTTGGTGTGTGAAATCCTGGTTAGGATATGCAACTAACTTTTTTTATTTTACTGCTGTCTCAGGTAATTATGTGTTAAATTATTTGGCTACAAGACCCAAACTGGCTCACTTTGTGTCACAGGCCCTTGTCCAGGTAAGCACTTTGCGATTGTCTAAATGTTTAAAAATATAGTTTTGAAGCTTATTTTCATTCATTAAATTTTTTTAATTGAAGGCAATGAGGCAAATGAAATAAAAAAAGGAAGTTTATAGACACCTTAGAAGGGAAATGAGAATGGCTAAACAAAATCAAAACTCAAGAAGTAAAGTTTTTTGGCATATACAAAATATTACCTTGGTCCAAACCTTGTTTGGATTGTGTTTAATTAAGACCATACATGGCAGCACTCAGGTCTATCTCAGAACTGTAATGTTCTGTGGCTTATCCAAATGTTTTTTCAACTAGAACGCTTTGTATCTCACTAAGTTTACCACATTGCTACTTCTATTCATGTTCAATGCTTACATGTTTGAATGCAATCAGGTGGGGATTTTTTTTTAAACGGGCAAGAGCTTTCAGATTGACCTGTGTCTTAAGAGTCGACTAACTGGGGGTTTCCTTCGAAGTCAAAGTGGATCTACCCAAGAGGCAAGGAATCAACAGTCTACTTAATAAAATAGATCTGCAAAATGGTTGTGCTCTCAGCACCCAGGTGTGGAGCAAAACTAAAGTCTAGAGAGGAATAAACAGCCAGAACTTTGCACAGTTTACAACCGATAAACGTGAAGAAGAAGATGAGAAGAAGATATCCTCTGTTCCTTTTATCATCATATTCTCATCCTATTCCATAAGTCTGGGTGTAGGTCTTATGAATGTTATGATCAAAAAAGCATCAGAGTCCTTCATTACATCTACCTTCAAAAGCATACACAAGTGTTGGATCTTGAAATATTGCACCCTGTCCACCCTTCCCTGTTATCACTCCAGGATTCTCTCTGCTTTCCTCCTCTTTTTTGCACTCAGTTATTTCTTGGAGTATTTACCTCTTTAAGGAATCATTGACAGATGAGACTGCTTAGTCTGGCAAATCGTTGATATTTCTCCACTGACAAAAATAGCTTTTATACATACAATTTTTAGCATTCAGCCTTTAAAATATCTGAAGTAAAATGTGAACGGAGCTGAGAATTAAATTTATACATTCCATTATTCTAAAAATGTATAGTGACCCATCACTAAACAATCAGGCAAGTAAGTCTAAAGCCATTTTCCCCTACAGTAACACCTCCCATCCCCTACAGTAACACCTCCCATTCCCTACAGTAACACCTCCCATCCCCTAGAGTAACACCTCCCATCCCCTACAGTAACACCTCCCATCCCCTACAGTAACACCTCCCATTCCCTACAGTAACACCTCCCATCCCCTAGAGTAACACCTCCCATCCCCTAGAGTAACACCTCCCATCCCCTACAGTAACACCTCCCATCCCCTACAGTAACACCTCCCATCCCCTAGAGTAACACCTCCCATCCCCTACAGTAACACCTCCCATTCCCTACAGTAACACCTCCCATCCCCTAGAGTAACACCTCCCATCACCTACAGTAACACCTCCCATCCCCTACAGTAACACCTCCCATCCCCTACAGTAACACCTCCCATCCCCTACAGTAACACCTCCCATTCCCTACAGTAACACCTCCCATCCCCTACAGTAACACCTCCCATCTCCTACAGTAACACCTCCCATCCCCTACAGTAACACCTCCCATCCCCTACAGTAACACCTCCCATCCCCTACAGTAGCACCTCCCATCCCCTACAGTAACACCTCCCATCCCCTACAGTAACACCTCCCATCCCCTACAGTAACACCTCCCATCCCCTACAGTAACACCTCCCATTCTCTACAGTAACACCTCCCATTCTCTACAGTAACACCTCCCATCCTCTACAGTAGCACCTCCCATCCCCTACAGTAGCACCTCCCATCCCCTACAGTAACACCTCCCATTCTCTACAGTAACACCTCCCATCCCAAAACCTTTTTTGGTAAATATAATCATTTCTGGGCCTCCTGAACACCTTGCAGGTGCAAAGAAAACCAGTGCTGTTAATTGGGCTCAAACCATAACTAGCCAAAACCATAAAGTTATTTTTGGGAAGTTTTAACGGCTGGCCAATTTGAAAGATCTCCTTCTCGAGACCAAAGGGTTAATGTGTCTATAATTATTTCCTCTTAAGTGATCCCCATATCATTCATGCACAGTTTTCCTAAAGCATTTGTATTCACATGCCTAGTTCCTGTTTTGTGTTTGCAGTGAGACTTCGACTTTAACATTCATATAAAAATGGATACCTCATATGACCATTGTAGTGTTATCTTTACAAAAATGCTAGTGTTGCTTTTGTGTGTGTTGATCCTCCCACTGCTGGGGATTTAATTCAGACCATTGTCTTGGTAAGCAAGTGCATAAATATCAGCAACACTTATCTTTAGAACTACGTATATATATTACCAAGTGCAGTGTTGTTTTTCAGTAATGCTAAATTGGTTTGCTTTTACATATGGCTGCACAAGTAACATTGCTCATTTGTATATCTGCAGCTCTTTGCCAGAATAATTAAATACAGCTGGTTTGATGTTCATAAAGAGGAATGCGTTTTTCGCAATATCGTCCTAGAAGTCGGCAAGTTCATTCAGGTAGTTGTCAAATGTGCTCTAGAATACATGTTTTAAAATAGAATGATTGATTGATGCAGGGGGGAGTGACGAGAGCTTTTTTCAAATGCTCAAGGCTCAGAGGAAAGGCAAGACAGACATTTAATCATAATGCTACTGGCACCATTAGTATCTGAACTCTTCGCTGGCTGCTGAAGATGGGGACGGAGGGCTTGTGGGAATGCCCCAAGTGCTGTGTTGTCGGTTCTTGAATCAAATAAGTCAATCAATCAAATAGAATAAAGGAGGAGAATTAGATAATTAATCTGTGTGTCATTAAATGGAGATTACCGGAAAGGCTAACCTGGTCAACAAATGCCTGCAGAAGCGGGATGTGTCGGATCGAAAGGCACAAATGTCGCAACCATGCTGTAAACCAGCACACCACACTTACATCTTTGAATGAACTCAGAAATAGAAGAAATCTAGATTATTAGGGGGAAAAATAAAACTAAAATGTTATGCTATATTCATTACTCACCACTCAGTAGATAGTTCTATATTTAATTTTGTTCTCATAACAGCCTTTCAAAAATATCTCTCTGTCATAAGCCAGATATCCTACTTCTGTTGTATGTACATCTTCTTCTGTGTTTGACCTTTAAAGGGTGTTTGGCTTGTGGTTGTGTAGTTAGGTTGTGAAATGTGAGCTTTTTGGCCCAACACATCTGATTCTAGCAAATCCTTCATTAATCGCTTGTCAAAGAGCAGTGACATCCCCACCCCCACCCACTAATAATGGGCCCCAGAACCCACATGGAAAAAGCTGAAATTATATATTGCATTTTGACTCTTGTCATCTTCTTCTCATACCTGAAATACCCTCTTCCAAGATTATCATCTCCAGACATTCACAGTTTTTTTTTTTACATGTCAGAATGCTTTATTTTTCTCAATTCTGTCTTTATAATCAGTCTTTTTCACTGTTAAGTACATCTGTTCTATGTCCAGTGAGTTTTTAGGACTCTTCTGTGACATTTATATTCATAACTTCTTTCACTCTTTATTTTCCAATTGAGTATAGGCCCTCAACCACTCACACAATATCGTCTATCCTTTACTGTTCCATGCACTCTCACCCCATTTACTTTCAATCTTCTTGACTTCACTCTCTAGCTCCTGTGTTCTGATGCAAAGATATTGTAATCACAGGCTCTCAGATTTCCTCAGCGTGTGACCTATCCAGCACCAGCGTTTTTTCTTCACCTCTTGACTCACCAGAATATGCTTAGTTCTCTCCCAAAGCCCTACATTATTAATTCTCTTATACCAATGTGCATTGTGCTGTTTGATTATTGGTGAACTGCAGTTGGATTGAAGTAGTGATGTTGTATTCCACAGAGTGGCTCCACGCATCATGTTATGATTGGTGTCCAGTTACTGTCCCAGCTTGTGTGCGAGATCAACCAAGTCAGTGAGGTAAGATTGGTTGCTGTTGGGTTTCTCCCCTTTTGTACTTTCTCTGAACAACCCTCCATCATTATTATCTCCGGACATTTATGTTTTCTAAATAATGCGGACACAAACAATACATTGCACAGTTTATTGCCAGGCATATTTCTTAGGGTAGTGTTTTAAATATTTTAAGGATCCGTTTCTTATTTTAAACAAAAGTTTAGTAAAGGTAATTTTGTTTGTTTGTTTAGATTCCCTTTTCAAGAAAAGAGTGAAATCCTCAGGCCTTCGCCTGTATCCTACATCTTTCTAAAAGTGGTAAAAAAACGGACAGTCTGTATCTGTGTTCTGTTTGATGTCCACAATCCTGTTATCTCACAGATTGTTTACAGTGTAGGTTAATTCGTTATTTTTGTTTGTGTTATTTATAGTCAGAAGCCAATCGTTCTTTGACAAGGCACAGGAAGATTGCCTCATCATTCCGAGATACACAGCTGTTTGAGATATTCCAGATGGCCTGTTCCTTGCTGCGGTCTGCAGTGGGAAACCTAAAGTCACTTGACTTTAATGACACCAGTCAGGTTGGTGCAAACCATTTATATGTTTGTTTCACAGTTTTTCTCTTGTATGATTTATTGAATTTTTGCTGCACATAGAATAGACTACACTCTTTTATTAACCGATGTTTGCATCGAATAGAATGAATTAAATACTAGGACTGCCCGTGTGGGTTCCAGGGCCCCATTTTAGGGAAAAGAAGAATGGACCCACTGCTGCTCTAGCAAAGATGGTGCAAAAGATGACTAGTTAGGGGTGTTTTTCTTTAAATTTGCTGTGCATCTGCCTGAGAGGTGAGAAACCATCTGTCTAAAAACAAACCAGATTTGTAAAGAAGATATGCAAGCAAGTGTCAAGTTCTGGAGCAAGACTTAAGTCCAGAATTAAATGAATGACAAGAACTTTCCACCACAGTTGACAGCGGGGGAATGCTAAGAAAGGAGTAGAAAACAATGCTGGGACAGATTCATCAATGCAGAACTGAGGAAGAGCTTTTGAAAGAGCACATTGAGTACATTTAAAAATGTTGAAGATAATTAGAAACAGATGAATAACAAAAGGGGAACATGGGGGGAGGTTGCAGGAGATGGCAAGAGGGAGAAAAGTTTATCATAAGATGATTGAGAGCTTGTGCTGCAATGGGGGGATAAATCTCATTAAATAGAATACCCTCAGGTAGAATACTTCAAACATCTGTCAGCCTGCTCGCATGCCTGCCTGTCTCTCTGTCTATATTTGCCTGTTGTGCAGGGGCTTGCATGTTGTAGTTGTGGTTCTTCTGTTTCCTTGAATAAGCCATTAAGACACATTTTCAAAATGTGCTCACTGCGAAAATAGTAATAGAAAATTTTTGGAAAGTAAAAGCAGCTGGTGTGATATTAATCATACCACATTTGGACGTTTCAAGTCCTATCCTGATATTTTGTTTATCTAGAGCTAGGCAGTTCTCTTGATAAAAATAGTGTTGATTCTTATGTGACATTTATCTGTAATGCTTACTTGACTCGTAAAAGTATCTTGGAAGTCAGCTGAAATTGTTTTGATTCCTTTAGCATTCCCTCTTGTCCCATTCGCTCCGACTGGCACACAGCTGTTTGACCTTTGACTTCATCGGAACATCAACTGACGAATCATCAGATGACCTGTACACGGTGCAGATTCCCACAAGCTGGAGGTCAGGTGAGTCCATATCTGGAAGCAGTGTTTTCAGTGAAATTGTTCTTTTTGGAAAATATTACTGAATTATAGATGCAGTGCAGACCACTGAAGGTGGTCTCGGATGGGTTGAATTTCTGTGGTGAAGAACAGTTTGTTTTTTCCTGGCAATTTTTCTTGCTTGAATTCTTATCTTGATAAGAGGAATTTATATAAGAAGATCCATTTCTTGGGTTTCTGGTGAGTTCTCCTTATCAGGTCTGCATTGTACTGGAGGCTGCAGTAAGAAATCATATATATCACACACTATACAAACATAATAGTAAACAAAAATGAAAATAATCACTGCTCATCTCGTTTCTTCTTCTGATTTTCATTTGCCAGATGGGGTCTGGCGCCAATTGTTTGGGAAAAACAGAATAGACCAACTGCTCCTTAACAGGCATGTTTGGCTGATATCACAGCCTAACTGTAAACCGCAACACAGTGTTCATCCTTCCCTTTGAAATGTGACACACAGAAGAAGAAGACAATTTCCCAGTACACAGCAAGCTCTTTATATACTTGTTGATGAGGTGCTGGAATGTGCAGTTAAGTTTTCTATAGAATGAGGTAGCTAGTCTCTTGCCAACCTTCCTTAGTCACCTCTTATGACATGTTTGTTAGGTTACAGTGTTATTAGTCTTTTATTCCCTTATATAGCCTTGGTTTCATATGGGCAGTGGCTACTTCTGCCCAGCTGAGAACAAAACAATCCTTTAAAGAGATAGTGTTGTCATTATTTTACATCTTATAATAATCCTATATTACTGTAAAACAACTGATTCCACATTGTTGTTCCTAGTCATCCCCGAGTTACTGCTACATAATGACATTGTTTCACTGGCCAGTACTCAAAAAGTCTAGTTGAGGGCATTGGTTCTGTTTGCACCTGTGCAGTATTTAGGAGGACCTGGGAATGATTATATTTACTAGAAATAAAATGCTTTATGTCTTTGATAATTGTGTGTGTACTCTTTTGTGTTGGGTATCAGAAAAGGTTGAATACACTGGCAGTGGATTCTGTTACTGCTGCGCACTAATGACCAGGCTCTCTGAACATGTGGGGTAACAGCCTCAGCAGAATATGTCTGGTTTCACATTTCTTTAATAAAAAAAAAAAGAAATAAAAAAAAAAGTTTAATCAAGAGGATCAGTTTAATTGTACTGGGTTTTATGGCATATGACCCAGTCTGTGTCTGCTAAAGATTAGCTGCCTGTTGATAGCATTGCACAAAGTGTGAAGTGATGGTCTCCTGGGGTGTCCATAAAAATTGCCCTTGTCAACCAAAAGTCACTGCAATGAATCGAACCCACGACATTCAGAGCACGAGGCATATGACTTGACCATTTTCCCATGAAGATCCCCAAAGCTGGTTTTATATTTATGTGTGAAAGGAGAGAGAGAGAGAGAGAGAAGGGGAGGAAAAGAGAGGATTGATTTGATTTGATTGATTTGATTCAAGAACCGACATCACAGCACTCGGGGCATTCCCATAAGCGCTCCGTCCCCATCTTCAGCAGCCAGCGAAGAGTTCCGATACTAATGGTGCCTGTAGCTTTCTGATTAAACGTCCGTCTTGCCTTTCCTCTGAGCCTCAAGCTTCTGCCAGAACCTCTCGTCACCCCCAACTGCATCAATCTCACCAGACTGTGGTGATCCATCTGCTCCGAATTGTACACGCTCTTCCACACGGCACTAACCACGTCTGCCCTATCATGTATCACTATTCCACCAAGTTGTGCAGAGCCAGCCAGTCTGCCCGACTGTTCATTTCCTAACACACCGGCACGACCCGGTGAAAAAATCCAGACAATACTCCTCACTCGTGTCCTCCACAGCGAAGCATGCCCCTCTGTGCGAAGCATACCTGTTCTGATCTTCCTCAGCATGCTTTCTGAATCAGTTACAATCACGATGTGTGTGTGTGTGTGTGTCGTGTTCTCTAGCCAGCGGAAAGCTGCAGTGACCACCTCCACCTCCATTCTTAAGCTGGATGTTGTGGTATCATATGCTACGCTCTCCTGCACCAAACGTCAACCATTAACTTTTGCTAAGAAGCCCCAAGCACTTCTTTTGCCTCTTGACACTGAACCGTCTGTGTAAATGATCAAATCCTTTGAGCGAGCATTATCTTGAATTAATTGCTTAATTTCCACCTCTGTGGCACCTGCTGACCAGTCTCTGCATTTCCGGCTCAGCGTGATTATGACTCTACACAGGTCTCACTGCCCAGGTGGCACTTTGACCCACTCCTCTCCTCGCCTAATGTTCTCAAGGATGCAAACCTGTTTGATTGTGTCTTCTGCCGGAGCCATTCATGACCTCCCTCTTATCAGCTGCTGACCCTTAACTGCACCCAGAGCTTCACGCAGAGGGTGGTCTGTGTCTGCAGCTACCCTGCAGCACCTTGTGCCTACCTGCAACCGTCGGCAAACCAAGGATGTATCGCATACACACCACTGGGGTGTCTCTGGTGCAACCCAGAATGACCTGCATAGCCGAGTTCTGTATGCGCTCTAGTTTGTCCATCTGACTCTTTGAGACGGTAAGCAGTCCCAGGCCATAATCCACCACTGACAGGATCAGATGCTGATATAGCGTAAAAAGCATTCTCTGCTCTTTGTCAATTGCAGCCATAGTCTTAAGTGCACTAAGTCCTTTTTGGCATCTCGTCACAACACTCTCCACATGGTCCTTAAATGACAGGCTCCTGTCAAATGTAATTCCTATATACAGTTTGCTCTCTCTGTTGATGTCTCTACAAAAGAAAAGAGAGGAGAGAGATGGAAGCCACACACACACACTGATCTGGTGGTCATATGTTTAAACTACTCAGGGTTCAGATATTTTCAAATATTGACGCGGGCCTCCAGATCGACCCAGACTGATATGTTTACCAGGAAATGTGCTGGGAAGTAAAGGCAACTGACATGCTACTGCTATCATCGCTTGTCAAGTGTCTGTTGGTCTGTAACAGTACGTATAGGCATGAGGTGGTCAAGGGTCCTGTACTTAAAAAAATATGTATATCAGTTTGCATGTTATTATTTTCATCATGTATGTCATGTATGTGTATGTAATTATCCTCATGTGATTTACAGGACTCTATTTTATGGGGGTTGGGGGGGGGGGGGGGGGTTTTGCATAGACCCTTTGCCATTTAGAAAGCACATCATAAAAGGATTTGTTAAAATCAGATGTGGTTGGCCAAATGGTGCAGATTATGCGTGCCAGCTACCATTTTAAGATCGAAGGAAGAAGTAGTGTTTGTAAATATTTAACCTAACCAGACACACACATGGATTCATGCACGCACACACACACAAACACACACACACACGCACACACATATCAGACAGTTAACTATTCTGTTTTATTTTATTCAGCGTTTCTTGATGTTGGGACACTGGAGCTGTTTTTTGAGTTATACAATGGCTTACCTTCATCATTATCATCTTTGGTAATACCATGTTGTGCTTTTTTTCCATTCTGTTTTGTTGTCGTTGTTATCATTGAGTCTAAATTTGATCTTTTTATTCTTATTATTTTGCTAACTTTTAACAGAATATTTCACCTTAATGTAGTTATTTGAGCTATTTGATGACAGACAGTTCTGTAATAGCAGTTGTGATTGGCTGTTGTGACTTTTATTTTCTTGTTTATTTATTGTTCCTTATTTGCACTTGGGGTTTCCGGTTTGTGTCAAGATGGCAGGACTTGTTTCTCTCTGGCTCGGCGTATATCGGTTGATCGACGGTCCGACAAGCTGTCATCGCAAACCACCAATTGTTGTAGAATCAGATTTCTGGCTCTAACTGCATGATGATTCGTTCTAATCTGTTAAATTCGAAGGACATCTTTAAAATTGGTTACTAGAATGTTAGGCTTCCTTACCAAGCCCTCATTTGGACACCACAGGGAAAAGATCTCGTGGAAGACCAAGGGAAACTACGTAGAACTATCATCAGGGAAGGCTCGCTCATGGGCCACTCAAACATCCAAGACCTACAACAGATTGCAACGAACCGCCATGCATGGAGAGTCATGACCTCTGCCCTATGTGCCGCACTCGACACAAGAGGAAAGACTAACTAACTAACTAATTTGCACTTAGACCTCTGTATTATTATTTAATGAAAGCAGTGGTTTTAAGTTTGGTTAAGCTTGCATTGAAACATGTTTTAGCTGCCCAACGGCCTGTGCAACCAACTTTAGCTAGCATTTTTTTAAAGGCTTTTTGCCTACTTACCTAGTTTCCATCTAGTAAAGTAAAGAACGTGGAGTCGTACACCTGTTTGGGCAGTAATGCAGATAAAGATGGAGGAACTGATAGAGATATTAATATAAGAATAGAAAAGGCAAGAGGAGCTTTCATAGCACTATGGAATTTGTGGAGGTTAAAAGAAATACTAAACTAAAAATTTTTAATTTTAATGTCAAATCAGTACTTTTGTATGAGGCGGAAACATGGAGAACCTCTTCTTCTTCTTTTTCTTCTTCACTTCCTCTTTTACCGCTGTGGGTGTCGAGGGAGATATAAGGTTCTGTTTCTAGCTCTTCTGGCTGCCTCGACCATAGGCACATCGTGCTGCTGTAGAGTTTCTCTGATGTTATCCTTCCATCTTGGTCTACCCCGTGCTCTACGTCCTTCTTCTCTTTCCATGTATGCTTTGTATGGTATGGTGTCACAAGGCATTCTCTCTAAGTGGGCAAACCATTTCACTTGCTGTCTTTGTATGTAATCCAGAATTGGTTCTGTGCCGACTTGTTCTCTTATGATCTCATTCCTGATCTTATCTCTTATGGTCACTCCTACAGCCCTTCTCAGACATCTCATTTCCGTGGTTACTAATTTTCTTTTATGGTTTGTTGTGAGTGACCATGTCTGGCACTGGTAGCGCAGAGTTGGAATAAATATGCTTTGAATAAGATGTCTCTTTGTGCTGATTGGGATTGTCTTATGCTGTAAGAGGGGGGCTAGCTGTCCCAATACTTGGTTTGCTTTACTGCATCTAATGTCAATTTCTTTATCCTATTTCCCATCTTCGGTAAATGTAGTTCCCAGATATTTAAACTCAGATGCCTGTTTAATGTCTTTGTATTCTATTGCTATGTTTAGATCTGTCTTTTTTTTTCCTATTGACATTACTTCTGTCTTTTCAGTGTTGATTCTCATATTATTTGTTTTACATTCTTCATTCATGGATGTTAGATGTTGTTGCAATTTCATGGCTGTATTTGCTATAAAGGCAGTAATTCGTTGATCTTACTAAGATCTTCATTCATGGGCTTGGCATTCTTGCATATACTGTCGATGTAGGTGATAAACAGCAGTGGTGATAAGACACACCCCTGTCTTACTCCAGATGTCACTGTGAAAGGATGAGATGTTCCCTGATTTATTCTAACTACACTTCTACAATCCCTGTATAAACTTTTGCACACTTCGATGAGGTGTTCGCTTACTCCATATCTTGCCATTATTTTCCATAGTAATTGTCTGTCGACCCTGTCAAATGCCTTCTCCTGGTCTACGAATGCCACAAATAAGTTCTTATTGTATTCAATGTTCTTTTCTATTAACTGTTTAAGTGTGAAGATTGCATCTGTGCAGCTTCTATTTCTCCTAAATCCCATCTGTTCTTCTGCTAGCTGTGGTTCTATCACTGGTCTCAGTCTTGTTTCTATTATCTTGGCATACATTTTGCCAACATGGCTTAAAAGAGAGATGCCTCGATATTGACCGCATTCTCGTTTGCTTCCTTTGTTCTTCCACAATGGTATAACTATTGCATGTTGCCAATCAATAGGGGCCGTTTGTTGTACCCATGCTGCATTGAATATTAACATGGAGAACAACTAAGGCAATTACTAATAAATTACAGACATTCATTAACTGGTGCCTGCGCAGAATTTAGGGAATTAAATGGTATGATAGAATAACTAATGTAGAGCTTTGGGAGAGAACTAAACAGGCTCCAGTGGACCAAGAGGTGAGGAAAAGACGCTTGCGTTGGATAGGACACACACTGAGAAAACAGGAGAACAGCATAACTAGAATGTCTTTGCATTGGAACCCACAGGGGCATAGGAATAAAGGAAGGCCAACCAAAAAAAAAAAATGCATGGAGAAGAGAGCTGGAGAATGAAGTTAGAAAGATGGGGAGGACATGGGGAGAGCTCCATGCAATGGCGAAGGATAGAACAACTTGGCGTGAGTTGGTTGAGGGCCTTTGCTCCATTGAGGGATAGAAAGGAAGAAGACAGTAAAGAACCATTTTTTTTTACGACTTTGGTGCATCGAGCCATAATGCTGGACTCATATGTTTGTTTAGACCTGTCAGCACCTGGTGGGTGGATGTGGTCAGCATCATGCCGGCTGCCTTTACTTCCCAGGACGTTGCCTGGTACTACTCATTTTAGGCTGGGTAGCTCCACCTAGATTTTCCTGTAATACGCAGGTCAAATGTCAGCACAGTAGTGTCTTTATTTAGCCAACATCCTACAGGGGTTGTGAAAACTTACTTCTGCAAGATCAGTTTTGCTGTGGTTGTCATTTTCTTGATGTGAAACCTATGTGTTTGAAGCTTGTGCTTCTTAAGTAACGTTCTGAATAGAAGTAAACATTTGCCGGCAAAAATGTATATATGTTTTCCTTGACTCTTACAGAACGTGAACGTTTTCTCATGTTTGGTGCTTGATATTTCTGTATCTTTATATATAATTTTGGGGGACAAACCAACACAGGCAGTCTCTGTAGTGAAAATGTAAAAGTAAGTAAAAAAGTAAAGGACCCTTTTCCACGCCTTTAGGGGTATAGGGCATATAGGGCTAGACCTATATTTTTATAGACCAATCGGCACCAGATGGGTGATGTGGTCAGCATCACGCCGACCAACTCTACTTCCCGGGACTGCACCCGGTACCCACTCAAGGCTGGGTCGACCTGGGAGCCAAGGTCATTTTTGAAAAAAAGTCAGGCTCTTCCAGGGAAATGAAAATGTACTGCAACATATTTCTGTTGCTTTCTTTCTTGCTTTTGTCCCACTTTCTAACATACTTCAGTTTGATAATCTGTTATTTTCTACCTGTATCATTTCTTACTTCTTGCTCATCTCCCGCAGATATTTGTATGTCTTAAATATTTTTTAACAATTTTTCTTCTGCTTCACCTTGAATAAAGTATTTGGCATTCTTTGTTGTGGTTTTCAGATAGGCTGCAATATCTGCGCCTTTCCGTGCAACACACCTGCTTTCAGTTGAACCTCTAATTAATCACCTTTTACAATATATTTGTTGGGGGGGGCGGGGGGGGGGGAACTGTTCTCTTTTGATTTGATAATGCTTTTAAATTTCTCCTACCAGCTCCCTCTTAATTATCTGCTTGTCATTATTTGTTATGTCACAGCACCTGATGAAAAAAAATAATCTCCCCCACATTTGTTAAAAACTATTAGTTATTGAATAAAACTGAAATCTTTCTACAAAACAATTTGGTTTTTCAGTATGTGCTTTCTCTTCATTTCAGGCCTTATCTTGCTTGGTACAGATTGCCTCTGTGAGGCGTTCATTGTTTAACAACACAGAAAGAGCCAAATTTCTCAATCATCTGGTCATTGGTGTCAGGGGCATCTTGGAAAATCCACAGGTATGTCTTGGTTTGTGCATGCAAGTGGATGTCTTGTTTTGTGCATACAAGTGGATGTCTTGTTTTGTGCATGCAAGTGGATGTCTTGGTTTGTGCATGCAAGTGGATGTCTTGGTTTGTGCATGCAAGTGGAAGATATTTCATGTGAGATGAAAGATGTGTGTCACAGGTGAAGGTATGTCTTGGTTTGTGCATGCAAGTGGATGTCTTGGTTTGTTAATGCAAGAGAAAGATATTTCCTGTGAGATGAAAGATGTGTGTCACAGGTGAAGGTATGTCTTCGTTTGTGCATGCAAGTGGAAGATATTTCATGTGAGATGAAAGATGTGTGTCACAGGTGAAGTTATTCATACTTCTTCATGAAGAGTTTGCAGCTGGTGAATGCTAAGAAGTAGTAGTACTCTTTGCAACTTTGTAGTGGGTCAGATGTGATTATATTTATTAAAATATAGAGGGATTTTGGTTTAGAGACAACAATGCCTTTTGTTTTAGTCATTATCAAGTGGTTTTGAGCTATGTATTTATGTAAAAACAGTTGTATTTGTTCACCAGAGCAAATGAATGCATTTGTCTGCAGCATTTTGTTTTTAGCTTATTCCTATTATAGTCTTAAAAAAAATTTCTAGCCATATTTCTTGGGACTTGGTGGCTGAGATATTGCAGTAGCTAGCAGGCGGTCTTTCTGCCTGGTTGTAATAATTCTAGCTGGTTTCAGTATTACTGGCTTCCAGTCTAGAGTTTCTACATTCTAGCTGGCATGATTACTTTATGTCACCTTGTTGCACACGTGCACAGCTACCAACTTGGGAACAAATACAACTGTCTACAATGAATAACGCAGAATAGTGCTCAGGTTCCGATGTTAAATTCTACCAGTTTACTCTTCCTGATTCTTCCACTCTATTCAATCACAGTTTATTCAATCACAGCCATTGCTGCTAACTTCCACAATAATCCTGCAATAATCATTTTTACAACGTTTAGTACACTTAAGTCAAACTACATCGACTACATCACAACCGTCTTCCTCGTCTGCACGGTCATTACACTGGCGGTTGGAGATTTAAACCCTCTGACCAAGACTCATAGGTTCTACTTCTTTCCATTTTCTCTTCTTTCTTAGGATAGAGTTTCAAAAAATCTATAAGAATGTTTTGCTTTTCAACATACTTTGTGAAGAGGTCATATTTAAATTTTTGTGCAGAGCGACAGGGTTAAAAAGATAAATTAGATAGATAGCTTTCTTCTGCTAGTATTTTGTTACTTTTGTAACTCATAGTTCTTTCTGTTGGTGGCTCTTGAAGAAGACTGTTCTTTTCAGGGGTCTTATTGACTAATAGGGATGGCTGTTCTTCTTCTGTCTTTTAATCCCCCAGTGGAGCATAGACGTTCAACTAACTCACTCGAAATCGTCCTATTGTTTGGTATTTCATGCAGCTGATCCTATGTCATTTTAACTTCACCCTCCAGCTCTCTTCTCCATGTGTTTTTTGTTCAGCCTTTATTTATATACCCACGTGGGTTTCAATGCAAAGACATTCTATTTTGTTCTCAGGCTTTTGTCAGTGTGTGTCCTATCCAACGCCAGTGTCTTTCTTCACCTCTTAATTCTTGGCCATGTTAGGTATATACAAATTTGGGGTTACCATATTATACCCAGTAAAGCTCAAGGCGTGCAAAAAGCTCTTTTTCTTTTGGCTTTTCTTTTTAAATTAGGACAATGCAAACAGTTAATTTCTTTCTACAGGGTCTATCAGATACTAGCAACTACCATGAATTCTGCCGACTGTTAGCCCGGTTGAAATCAAATTATCAGCTTGGAGAACTAGTCAAAGTAGATAACTATCCAGAAGTCATCAAGTTGATTGCAGAGTTCACCGTCACAAGTCTCAGGGTGAGGTTGTCTACCTCTCCTTCTGGAGAGTCATTGTTAATGTAGCTTGTCTACCTCTCTGTCTGGAGAGTCATTGTTAATGTAGCTTGTTTACCTCTCTGTCTGGAGAGTCATTGTTAATGTAGCTTGTCTACCTCTCTGTCTGGAGAGTCATTGTTAATGTAGCTTGTCTACCTCTCTGTCTGGAGAGTCATTGTTAATGTAGCTTGTTCAGCTTTTTGTCTGAAAAGTCACTCTTAATATAGTTTTAAGTTGATGTCATTATCAACTGTCGAGAATTGTGTATTAAAATTAATAAGTAAAGTCATGACAGTTCTACCTCTCTGTCTAAAGAGTCTTTTAATGTAGCTTGTCTACCTCTCTGTCTAAAGAGTCATTGTTAATGTAGTTTGGAAAGTCACTCTAATTTAAGTTGATGTGTCAAACTGTCGTTAAAAGCATTGGACATGTTGTTCTAGACCCAAATGTTTATGAACCAATCAGCACATGACAGGTGATGAGGTCAGAGTCAGACTGACCACCTTTACTTCCCATGACAATATTTTGGGTATCCATTTTAACCTTACTTGGCGGTTTGAAGGAAAAATATTGACCGTATTCAACCAGATTAAATAAGCTGTTGGGTATAATTGTGATCTTTCTTGAAGGTGGTGCTTGTTGAATTATATTTTGCATATTATAATGCTTTCTGATATCAGATTTTGTATTTTTATTTCATGTCCATCAAGAATTTCTGTCAATTAACCCAGTGTCGTCACTAAAGGACCCTTTTCTCCACACATTCTGATGTTTTGGACATATAGGACTAGACTTATGTTTGATAGAGCAGTCAGCACAACAAACCATAACAGAAAATTAGTAACCACGGAAATGAGATGTCTGAGAAGGGCTGTAGGAGTGACCATAAGAGATAAGATCAGGAATGAGATCATAAGAGAACAAGTCGGCACAGAACCAATTCTGGATTACATACAAAGACAGCAAGTGAAATGGTTTGCCCACTTAGAGAGAATGCCTTGTGACACCATACCATACAAAGCATACATGGAAAGAGAAGAAGGACGTAGAGCATGGGGTAGACCAAGAACAAGATGGAAGGATAACATCAGAGAAACTCTACAACAGCACGATGTCCCTATGGTCGAGGCAGCCAGAAGAGCTAGAAACAGAACCTTATATCTCCCTCGACACCCACAGCGGTAAAAGAGGAAGTGAAGAAGAAGAAGTCAGCACTCGGTGGATGATGTGGTCAGCCTCACGCCGGCCACCTTTACCTCCCAGGACTTTACCTGGTATCCACTCAAGACTAGGTTGAACTAGGAGCCAAAGTGATTTTTGAAAAAAAAAGTGTCAGTCGTATGGGGTAATTTGATTTAGTTCACAGCAAGACTTTGCTGTAAATATTACCACTGCTGAAATCTTATGATCTTTTGAGCATATGGTCGAAAATGCAAGAAGTTGTCGAGAACTCACACACTGATAGAGCCCTAGTTGTAATGAAATATAGGCAGAAAGGGGTTAAATGAACAAGCATACATTTCAGACCACCACACGGCGTACTAATCCATCACTGTGTGAAATGACAGAAATAGGTGATTAGAAAGCCATGGCCTAGCCAGCTATGCAGAACACACCGCCATGACATCTGACAGTGAGGGATGAAACATTCGACGAGTGCCCGTGAACTGTGACCAGCGGATGAGATACGTTCATCCAGACGTGACCACCAAAGACAGGTGACAGAGAAGTGATGGAGAAGGTACGCCAAAAAGAGCGGGAAAGCGGGGGAATAAAGTTAGCCCCGGAACCGCTGGAGAGGTTAGTTAGCCCCGGAACCGCTGGAGAGGACAGTTAGCCCCGGAACCGCTGGAGAAGACGGTTAGGACCGGACAGCTTAAGAGACCAGTTGAGAAAACTAGTGCTGTACTTCGTTAGAAGGTATATGTTAAACTTGGAGTTTAGCTAGAACAGTTAGTTAGCCCCGGAACCGCTGGAGAAGACGGTTAGGGCTGGATCGCTAGAAAGACCGGTTAGGAGAAAACTAGTGCTTTACTTCGTTTAGAAGGTATATATTAAACTTGGAGTTTAGCCAGAACAGTGGTTAAGGAACTCGTAGAGGCATACGAATAGCCAGTAATAAGGAGTGTTCATATACTATTGCGTAATGAATTTATGAAATGTGTGTGACGAGAATATTATGAATAAACCAGCTCTTATGTAATTGATTACATCACTGGCCTTGTTCTTGAGTACGATTGAAGAGAGATACGAACTATATTCATTCCACTTGGCCGACTTAGGCACATCTATTTCTTGGGGGATGTATAGGCACGACTGTGCCTCAAACTAGGAGCCAAAGTGATTTTTGAAAAAAAAGTGTCAGTCGTATGGGGTAATTTGATTTAGTTCACAGCAAGACTTTGCTGTAAATATTACCACTGCTGAAATCTTATGATCTTCTGAGCATATGGTCGAAAATGCAAGAAGTTGTCGAGAACTCACACACTGATAGAGCCCTAGTTATTTACTGATGACATTATCGAACATTTTAGAACATTTTTTATAGAGTTCATGTACAAAATGCCATCTACATTTGTTTTCCTCTTTTCTCTTCACTTGGCCATTAACTGGGTCCACAGGTATTAAACGGTAGAAGAACCCTGATCTAAACTACATACAGAAAATGAATGATAATTAAGTTTTTTTAAGGCTTTCATTTGGTTTTTTTTTTCTCTCACAGATGTGGCAGTTTGCACCTAACAGTGTTCATTACCTACTTAGTCTTTGGCAGCGCATGGTGGCATCAGTGCCCTATGTGAAAGCCACAGAACCACACCTGCTGGAGACATACACACCTGAGGTCACAAAAGCCTACATCACATCCCGGTTGGAGTCTGTGCACGTTGTTGTTAGGTTAGTCATGTGGGCTTGTGGCGTGCCTGTTTGCAAGGTTGTTTTAGATAAATTGTACACGGTTTGGCCATTAAATAACGAGAGACTAATTGCATTATTCAGAAGTCCCAGGTTTTTAGTGTCCTTTGGATATTTTCTCCAGGTGATGCTGGTGTGTTGGGAAATGAACAAGGAGATAGATTGGCCGGTTCTGCACCATTTGATGGTGAATTGATTGTATGACCAGCTAGATCTTTTAAGGGCAAGGGTCCTGTGTGAGTGAGTGAGCATTGAGGAGGCACAAATAAATCATTACAATCTCATGAGAATAGTGATACGAGGAGTGAGTGAGCATTGAGGAGGCACAAATAGATCATTACAATCTCATGAGAATAGTGATACGAGGAGTGACCAGGGGAATCTGGCTGATGCTGAAGACCCAAGGAAAAGTTGAAACAGATATGCAGTCAGATTTCCATTGGAATTGGAACTCTGTGCTTACTACTGAAGATGGGGACGGAGCACTTAGGGGAATATCCCATGTTTTGTGCTATCAATTCGTGTTGTGTTATGAATTCTTTTAATTCAACATTAAACATTATGGCCAAGATAAAAACATCTATGAAAAGCATTGCATGCAATCCAAATGGGCACCATTTATCTATGATTTGGCCAAACTGTAACACCGCATGTTTAACAAAGGACAACCTGCCATTTAGTTTAACTAGTGAGTGTTGCTTTGTTACATGTGTGGAATGGAGCTAACAGTGAACATTACTTTCTGTTTTAAACTCTGGAAAGTGCTTTTGAGAAGGTGAATTGATGAGACAAATTGATGGGGATCAGTTTTATTCATGAACAAATATTCAAATGGTATTCACAGTTAAAAAAACTAGTGTGGAAAAAACTGAAGCTGAAGTTCAGCCGGGATGTTCCAGTTTCTGTTCATTGTGATAAACTCATAGCCATGGTTGGAGAATGGATACATGAAGACTGATGCTTGACTGTGAGGATGATACCAGATAAAATACGAAGTTGAATTTGATAAACTTTATTCTAGATAAACTTGTCTCATCAGTTCAACTGTCTCAGGAGTACTTTTCCAAGTTCAAATTAGAAATTACTGTTTGCTGTTTGCTCCATACTGCTTATGTAACCGAAGAACTCTCACTAGCTAAACAAAATGGTGGGTTACTTGTTGTCTGCTGACCAGACAGCAGTACAATTTTATTAAAATATAGATAAATGGGACTTTTTTGGATGACCTGCTTTGCTTCATGGATGGCATTGTTGTCTTGGCCATGACAAAATCATTCTCATTATTTAATTGCCAGTGTTTGCGAATATTTGATTCCTTAGTTGGTTAAGTAAAGCTGTTTAATATTTGGATTTTGTGTTTTTGGCCGTGTTGAGAAATCACACTCCCCACACTTTTTTAAGAAAATACAATTTCAGAATCATTTAAAGTTGACAAAATCTTTATCATATTTACTTTTTGATGTCTTTCTTTATGTGATAACTGTTTTTTAATTGGTGTGGTTCCCTAAGTAAATATATTTGTGGGGGTGTGGGGATAAGAATGTGAAGTAGAAGAGGGATGGCATGAATGCATACACTAGTGCATCCAGATTTTCCATATTTATTTGAAGATGAGCCATGTTTGAATATGCGATTGTTCCCTTATTCTGTTCTTTATTTCCTGTATTTATATTTCGTTGTGTGTGTTTAGCAGCAGTATTGAATGTAAAGCAAAGCAAATGACTATTTCATATTAATGGCACATCCGGAAAATGATACTAGGCTCATATTTTATAGATAAATTGCCCATCTGTGGGTAATTGATCAGCATTGTACCGGCCGCCTTTACTTCCTACAACTTTACCTGGTGCCCATTTTAGGCTGATTGACCTGAGAGGTAAGGTCATTTCTGAAAAAAAAAGTCGGGCTCGAAACAGATTTGAACCCACAACTTTGGAGCTCAAGGCGGAGCGTGGCAATAATTGTAATCTGGTAATAAAATGAGTCCATCTCATGACACAAGTTAATTTGAATTACTTCTTCTTCTTTTCCACTTTGTACCTCATTGAAATGTCGGAAGGATTTGAATTACTAAATTGTAATATTTTCGTTGAAATATGAATAAGTAATATGTTGATGTATATTTGTGTGTGTGTGTTGGTTTTTCTATCAGAGATCAAATTGAGGACCCATTAGACGACCATGGACTCATAGCCCAGCAACTTGAGCAGGTAGGCTTCAGTTTTTCATTGGCCATTATTTTGATATGTAAAAAAAAAAAAAAAAAAAACGTTATTTGCCGTGTTTAAAATGGTATGCACAAAAAGTCAGAAAAATGTTTGGCGTGTTAACTTTCGTAGTTGTTAATTGCAGTTCCAATTTCACAGCAAATAGGTCACACCATAGCATCTCCGTTTCTATGCCGACAAAAACCACACAGAATACCCATTACCATCCCCTGTGAAAAAAAATTAATTAAACACAGCAAAGCCAGTGTGGTACACACACATTAGCGGTACACAATGTGGTACACACACACTAAATGCACAAGGTAGCTGTCACAAATGCCATTATAATTACAATTGATGAGTTACAACAAATAAGAAGTTGCACCCCATTTAATAGCATAAGGCACCACTAGTTCTGGGACAGTATGCCAGATTGTTACCTAATATAATGTTTTGGTATACATTGTATAATAGTAGAACAGGTGTTGGCTTAACATACCTGACTTGTGTCTTTAGCTGTCCACAATCGGCAGATGTGAATACGATAAAACCTGCTCACTCCTAGTACAGCTGTTTGATGAGTCTGCCCAGCGATACCAAGAGCTGTTATCGTCAGGACCATCCATTGAACTCGCCATAGAGGAAGGTCAGTCTTGCTTTGAAGTCAGAAATGTTATCAGAATTGATGTCTCCTTCTATACCAAAATCATGTTCTTTGACATTTCACCTACTTTTCATAAAATCAAATAAAAACTGGAGCAATAAAATCAAATAGTGATATTTGGATTTGGGCAGTCAAAGAAAAAGAATGTGGATTTCCTAAACAGGTTGGGAGAAAATTGTACGACAGGCGGAAATTAAAAAGCAAATTTTTAATGCTAAGTCATCCAGATTCAAAGAAAAACTGTCTGCAGAATATACACAAAAGAATAAGTAGGTTAAAGCTAGAGCAAAAGCAGTTAAAAATTACTATGTAAAAAGGCTGGTTTCAGAAGCAGAGGAAGCCGCTGATAAACAAGACATCAAAACTTTTATAACATCACGCAGAAACTGAAAGGAAATGTGGTTTGACTCCAGTATTTGTCTCTGAAATCAAAGAACAAAAATATAAATTCACTTTGTTTCTTTTGAAAGTAATATCATTATATAGTGAAATGTGAGGTATTTCATGTGAAGTTATTTAGTGAGGAGATTGATATGAAGTTTCTGCACATGTCTTAGGCCTCTTCTAGTAGTAGTACATTTTAGCCCCCTAGGACATCACACAAGCGATAAACACCCGATGACACAAAGTGCCACCATGTGGTTGAGGATCACCCGTGGAGAGGTCCCAGAAACCGCGTTCAGCCATTAGGCTATATTTATGACCTTGCCAAATTACAGCCCCTGGCAAAAGCCAGGGTGGGGCTTCAAAATTTAAAAAAATTGCATCCCACTAGGGAATAACTAGATAATTACACCTCTTCTAGATTTATAATATGTTCATAAACTGATTCCCAAAAATATAATTATTGGTTAATTAATTATCATTGCAAATTTGCCCTGCAATTTTACACCTAAATAGAAGTATTTTAAGTTTATATTTTTGTTTCCTTCCACTCAATAGATCAGTTGACATAATTGGTCTATATAATTTTACATTATAATTTAATTCTCCTTCTACTTAAGTCAGTTGACATGATTGATGTATGTAACTGCAGATTTTAATTTTTGTCTCCCCTGCTCAATGAGAAAATTGACATGATTGGTTTATATAACTTTACATAAGTGGGGGCTGCGTTAGCGCAGTCGATAGGAGACTTGCTTTAAAATCCAGCTGTGACTCGCTGCAGCCCACGGCCGGTGTTCGAAACTTGGTAGTTCCCGGGGTTCACCCAGCCTCTAGGTAATGGACACCAGAGTTAACACTCTGGTATAAATGGAGGAACGTCGCTGTAGCTACGGAGTTGCATGCAGACAGCGACACGGGTGGACAGTTTTTTTATCAGCCGTCTTTACTGGTGGCAAAGGACTTATGGTTTATAACTGTGTGCAATGAAGCTGGTTCACATCTTCCGACTTTACCTTTACCTTTTAACTTTACATTAGAATTTTAGTCTCCTCCCACTCTTCAGGTCACTTAACATTATTAAAAAAAAATAATACATTTGAACATTTTAATTTTTGTCTCCTCCAACAATTAAGGTCAGTTGACGTGGTTGGTTTATATAATTGGTGCTGTCATTGGGGGTCGTGTGTCATTTGCCAGCACGGATGAGCATGATGCTATGGATGGAGAACTGGTCTGCAGGTAAAGATTTCATATTGATGCATTTCACAGATTCAAATTCTTTAAGGCTCCTGCCTTTGGGAACAAATCTCCACAGCCGTTATTTGTAATTGTAAAGCTGATCTCTCATGGTGACATATGTCCTGCTCAGTGGCGTAGGTGCACGTCTCTCAAAAAAGCTTATTCCTTGGTATTTCGAATCAATTCCACTGATAATATTCCACCATGCTGTTGATTCAGGCTGTCAACCTTAGCAGTAATGACAGTGGAAAGCACATGGGTCTGCTAATTTCAGACACAACATTTAGTTTAGAATGTTTGTATTATAGCCATATTTATTTAATATGCTGAGATCAAGTTTCAGTTCCATTTCACTGTTTTGAGTACACACATCTTCCCTGTATCAACATTAGGATATAAGTCATGATTTCTTTTAAGAGAGAAAATATGGAGTTTTGAGCTGAAATACTATAAAACATATTCTTGAATACCGTGGCCAAGAAGAAAAGGAATATAGACATCATAAAAAATCTGAACATTAAGGAAATTTGACTGAAAAAAAAATGATCTTGATACTGAAATACTTATGACCATATCAGACAACACAGTGGATTCAAAAGAGTAGCAGAGGGCATGTCATGAAGTAAGAATAACTGGGGCCAACCAGATGAGTACAGCACCTAGGAGACACCTTAGTCAGGACTGCAGGAGAGCCAGCGAGGGACCAAGTTTCTTTCAGGTGGGCTGTGATGGGAGCAGTGTTCTGTGTAAAGGACCTGCTACCTGATGATGTTGATGGGAATATTAGTTACCGTTGAGGTTCCATGAGATGTGTTTGTATTTGCAGAGTGTTGCAGCTGATGAATTTGACAGATTCCAGATTACCCCAAGGTGGCTGTGAAAAGTTGGACTTAGCTATCTTGAGTTTCTTTGAGCAGTTCAGGAAAATTTATGTTGGGGACCAAGTCCAGAAAACCTCTAAGGTGAGAGCATTTGACCTGCTGTAGTTGTAAACATAGAAAACCTCTAAGGTGAGAGCATTTGACCTGCTGTAGTTGTAAACATAGAAAACCTCTAAGGTGAGAGCATTTGACCTGCTGTAGTTGTAAACATAGAAAACCTCTAAGGTGAGAGCATTTGACCTGCTGTAGTTGTAAACATAGAAAACCTCTAAGGTGAGAGCATTTGACCTGCTGTAGTTGTAAACATAGAAAACCTCTAAGGTGAGAGCATTTGACCTGCTGTAGTTGTAAACATAGAAAACCTCTAAGGTGAGAGCATTTGACCTGCTGTAGTTGTAAACATAGAAAACCTCTAAGGTGAGAGCATTTGACTGGCTGTGTTGGAAATACAGAAAACCTTTGAAGTGACAGAATTTGACTGGCTGTGTTGGAAATACAGAAAACCTTAGAGGTGAAATATTTTGAGAGGCTGTGTTGTAAGTGCAGAAAATATTAAGGTGAGAATATTTCTTCTTTCTTTTCTTCTTCATCGTTCATCAAAGTGACCTAAATGCATTGTGCCTGTTTACAGCATGGCTGTAATATTTGCGCCTTTCAGCCGACACGTCAGGCGTCGTCTGACATTATTTATCCAGGTTAGCCTTCCCGTCCAGTTTAGTGGGACATTTGTAGCCACATATGTGTTTTGACTTTGTTATCCCCACCTGATCCACTAGTGCTGTCCCTAGAGGAAGCATCCAGGAAAACCTTGTGCAGATTGTAATGCCCTGAAGGAAAAGCAAGTTTAGAACAGAGGCATTTCCTGCCATCCAAGAAGGCTTCCATAAACACAGAGATGAGGCATGATGCTCTGGTACTGGGCTCACTCAAGAAATCTTCACATCCTGCACATGACTGCTTAACCTCACATCCATATATTGTACCTTTCACTCTTGGATAGTGCCCTTCAGGGATCCCCAACAAACAGTCTGCAGACTTGAGACTCCCGTACCCTGCATCAATGGACATTTCCCTTCCTCGGCATGTTAGACTCTAAATGCAACACCTGAAAGCCAGTTCTTCACCCCTGTAGCTGTCACAGGCAGTGCATGTTCAGTGTCTTGTATCCACTTTTGCCTCATTTTCCAGAAACTGCGTCCTCCTTCACCATTCTCTCGTGGACGCCGCGACATTTAAAATGGCAAAAATACCTCAGCTTTTGAAAGAGAATGCTGTTTATGAGTCAGTTTTTCTCAATGTCCAAATCACAAAGGATGTCAGTGTTTTTCCCCCCTTGGTCCACAGTATTCTAAGAACTTTTTGTGTGTGCTGTTGTTTGGTAGCATTTCAGTTTTAAAGTTATAGTTATTCTTTCTTCAGGATTAAGATTCTATTTTGATCTATTCAGTAGAGCTCTAGACCTATATAGCCAATAAGCCTGAAATGCGTGCAAAAAGGGTCCTTATCTTTACCCCCTGTGTGGATGGAGAAAATGGAGGGGGGGGGGGGGGAGAAGGTGTCAAGCAAATTTTGAAAAATGAGTTTATTTGTGCTTTTAACAACTCATTATACTGACATTGTTTTTCCAAGGAAATTATAAATCAAATATGTTTTAAACTGTTTATAAAACAAAAAGCCGAGGATGCTTTTGTTTTCATGAGCAGTTTGTACCTCTACCGTTAGAAATGTAATTGATGTGATAACACTTATGTTTAGTCTTAGTTTAAGAATACACTCCTCCTCTTTTCTCTTTTTTTTAATCACATTTGTGGGGTGCGTTTCTGTGGAGGTGGGTGGGGGGGGGGATGGATGGGGTCGGGGTGTCTTGCAATATACTCAACAAGAGGAGGAAGGCACCTGAAAAAAGCTTAGAGACCTCTGATCTTCTAGAGAATATTTTCATAATTTGTCTGGCTAAAGAAAAAAAATTAACTGATGTCTGTAGATGACTAGTGCAGTATTCTCTATTCGATCCCCAGGTATATCGACGACTGTCTGAAGTGTTAGGCTTGAGTGATGAGTCCATGGTTCTTAGTATGTTCATTGGCAAAATGTAAGTAAAATTTTAAAATATAAATGTAAGTGAAATTTTGAAATGAAAATGTAAGAAACATTTTGAAATGAAACAACTTTTTAAACTGGTTAGGCTTTTCAGATGTATGGAGTTGTACACACAATTGCTCATGTTGGTTCCAAGTCCTATTTTAGGGTGGAACAAAAATAGACCCAAGAATAGAACCCCCTCCCCCATCCATCCCCATTTTGAAGGACAAACAGTAGACCCGCTGCCCCTTTCCAGGCATGTGGTAAGAAGTGACTAAGGCTTTAGTGAAATTGGATATGTTTTGCCAAAAGGAACGGATGCCATTACCACAGCAGAACAGGCCAGCTACTCACGTCAAGGTGAGTACAGAGGATTCCCATCCATAAACAGGTTCTGTCTAGCCATGGGTTGTTTTTTTTCCGCTTAAAACCTAGTCGAGGCAGTTAGTTACCTTATGGCTTGTTATTTGCTATGTCCATTTCCTCTGTATTTGTAATTTGCCTCATGCACTGAATTGTTTTTCACCCTTATTTCAGAAGGCTAGTGATCCATTCTCATTACCCAGTACATTTTGGGGGGGGGGGGGGGGGGGGGGGGGGGGGGGGGGGGGGGGGGGGGGGGGCGCTATGGAATATCACTAGAAACCAATATTTATTTTAAATCATCCCTTTGGCTGGGGTTCTTCCTTCCTTCTGTCCGCCTTTTCTCCTTTCTTTGTTCCTCCCTCCCTTTCTTCCTCGCTTCTGCATTTATCTGAAGATGTAAAAGGGTTGTGCCCTTTTACAACATGGCTGCGATATTTGCGCCTTTCGGCTGACATATCCAACTTCTCTAAGTATTTATTGCTGGGTTAGCTATATATGTCTGATTCAGCACCTCTGCTTGGCTCCAGTTTGTAACGTCTCAGTCTGAAGTAGATGAGGAACATCTGAGCTGTGCCGCCCCTTAGTAAACATGAAGAGACTGGGGTCAGCCAGAATGCAGGTGGATGTAATATTACAGCTGCCCAGATAGATATCATTACATTTTCTAGATATCAAATTACATTGTCTAGATATCAAATTACATTGTCTAGATATCAAAATACATTGTCTAGATATCAAAATATATTGTCTAGATATCAAAATACGTTTCTTGGATATACAGTGCTTAGATATCAAAATACATTGCTTGGATATCAAAATACATTAGTTAGATATAAAAATACATTGCTTAGATATCAAAATACATACATAGATAGGTAAAAAAAAAATCTGGCTTAGGTATCAGAATCCATCCATCATGTAGCAAGTCCTTTGCAGAACGTCGCTATCATCACAGTCTGCCTAAAAAATACTTGCTCTCTCGCCAGTTCTCCCGCCTCATGTACTTTCATACTCAAGGAGTCACTTATATCCTGTGCCCATCTTCGTGTCGGTCGGCCCCTGCCCCTCCTTCCTGGTACCATGCCTTCTGCTATAGTTTTTAGGTATCAGAATACATAGTAAAATTACCAAAGGAAAGAGAGTCTCATAAGCAGACCATGATGAGAGCGGTGTTCTGCCTAGGACCAGTATGAAAATACTTTCATTATCTTGAAATTGTTTTTTTCAGTATCACCAACTTGAAGTACTGGGGACACAGCGAACAGATCATCGCCAAGACCCTTCAGCTGCTCAATGACTTATCCGTGGGCTACAGCAGTGTGCGCAAGCTGGTGAAGCTGGAGGCAGTGCAGTTTCTGCTGAACAATCACACTGTAAATATTGTTTGAAATGTGTTGTGTGAAATCATAAAACTGAACAGCCACACACTGTAAGTGTTGTGTGAAATCATAAAACTGAACAGCCACACACTGTAAGTGTTGTATGAAATTACAAAACTGAACGATCACGCACTGATAGTGTTGTATGACATAAAACTGAACAGTCACACACTGTAAGTGTTGTTTTAAATTTCATCATCGTTATCATCATCATCATGCAGCAGGTCCTTCGGAGAAGGTCACGATCACTGTCTTCTCGAAAAAAACCTGGTCTCTCACCAGCTCTCCTGCTTCATGTACTTTCATATCCAAAGAGTCATTTTTATCCTGTGCCCATCTTCATGTCGGTCGGCTCCTACCCCTTCTTCCTGGTACAATGCATTCTGCTGTTAATTTTTTCCAGTCCGCCGTGCTGCTTGATGTGGCCAAAATATTTCAGCTTCTGAGACAAGGTACTGTTTATTAGCCAATCCTCCTTGATGTTCAGATCTTTTAGAATGTCAGTATTTCTTTTCTTCTTTGTCCATGGTGTTCTGTGAATATTTATGTAGCATTTCAGCTCAAAAGCCCCTATTGTCTTTCTTTTGTGTGTGTGTGTGTGTGTGTGAACCAGAAGTACTTTAGCCTCGATGTCACCTACACTGTTAATGTAGGGAGTTTGCAGATTTTCTGCCATCCCCTGGCTCGAACCCGAGACCAGACATACATAGGAATTGTCACCTGGCGTCCAACGCGCTATCAGTTATACAGGAAATGTATGAATTTATAAAATTGAGCAGTCACACTGTGAGTATTGTATTGGAAAAAATGTTAACCTATTTATTTCCTGAGCTATTCCTTTGCTGCAACAGTTTTTCCCAGGGCTTTGTCTAAAATGTACAGGTGCATTTGCCCCAGTTTTCTCACCTGGGTCTGGAGTCTAGGAGGTATATATCTGTACCTGTCACAAAAGTATCCAGTTCATTTGTGAGTTTCATAGTGACAGTACTGTTGTATATGACAATCTGTTTCAGAGTGAGCACTTTCCCTTCTTGGGAATTAACACAGCAAATGGAGCACTTAGTGACATGAGGTGCCGGACTACCTTCTACATGGCCTTGGGTCGTCTGCTGCTGGTTGACCTGGGAGAAGATGAGGAGAGGTTCTATATGTTTATGATGCCTTTAACTAGTAAGTACTTATCTATAGACAGTATGGCCCCCAAAACCTGGACACATAGGCAGAAGTAGAGTTGAAATTTGTGAACATTTTAATCAACTGGAAAATTAAATGTCTTCAGTATGATTTCCATCATTTGCGATGCAAAGGTTGCTGCACTTTGCAAAATGCTTGTGAGCCCGGTGTAATAAATCCACATTGCTGTTAGTATTTCCTGTGTGTAAAGACTTTAGGGACTAGTTTGTGTGAGGATGCTTCATCTTGTGTTGATAGGCCTTTATCTTCAGAATATGTTTTACATATGGTGACAGTAATTCCAATGTGTGTTCTGGGGCCCTAATTCTGGGTGGTGGTGGGGATTTGTTAGAATCATTGCTCTTAAACACGCACACCATAAAAGGTGACCAGTCAAAGGTCTGCTGAAATCAGTATATGGGGCCAAAGTTAAAGAAAAGTAAAAATCCCTTTTCACGCCTTTCGGCGTATCGGGTATATGGGAAGAGCGTCCCATATTTTTACAGACCATCGGCACTCGGTGGGTAATGTAGTCAGCATTACGCCGGCCATCTTTACTTCCCCAGGACAGCTATCCTGGTACCCATTTTAGGCTGGGTTGACCTGCGATGCCCCATACCATGATAAAAATCCATGCAGCCAGAAGTGGGTTTCGATTGCAGTATGTTGGAATTACGAGTCGGACTCACAGCGACTAAACCACAGACGCCACCCACGTATGGGGCCAAAAGGCACATATATTGCCTGGCTGTAAACCACAACATGACATACCAGCTGCCTTTCTAACAGAAGAAGAAGGTGGCATTAGGGAGCTGTGGCAATGAAGTGTCCTGCTTGATGGCTGGTTGACTAAGTGGTCATATGTCTCAACCTGCAGGAGGGATGTTCTTCTTTGGCCTGGGCTCTCAGGTCAGCTCAGCTTAACATGAAGAAAAGATAGTATCCTGGAAGGTAAAGGTGATATGTGAGATGTTGACCACTGAGTGCCTTTTAGTCCGTTACCATCGAAGTGCATAGTGTGGGAATGTTTATGTCGGCATTGCTGTAGGCATTTGAGGCATGTGTATGCTTTTAACTTTGCTCAGACTGCAGTTGTACATTTTTTCACAAGGGACCGTGATGGGCATTCTGTGTGGTTTTCGCTGGCACAGGAGTGGAACAACTATGGGATGACGACCCCATTGGCTGTTGAAACTGCACTTACCTAAATATCTGGTCTATCACCACACACTCAGCAACTCTCAGAGTCATGGAAATTTCTTTAGTTTTTTTGTTTTTTTTTTCAAATTATTTATTTTCTTTATGTTTAGCTATACTAAAAACAACTTGCATTAACTTGTACATTAAAGTTGTAGATTATCTCTGGGTGTTTGTGTCTAGTTTCTTGAACTTTATATTCTGTTCCCAGCTCATTTTGAAATTGTAGCTGGCTTATTGGCCAACCCGAATGCTTCCATGGGTATGGAAGAAGCTAAGGTATGTATATTTTGTTCATAAGTTTCTCTGTAAGCTTCTCAGATAAGATCTGCCTTAGAAACTTAGCCTGGAAATTTTTGGCTTTGGCGTAACTCAGGATCCAGTTTGTTTGATTTTAGTCACACTCAATTTATTCCAGCATTTTTTCATCTACTCACACTGAGAGGTAAACAATACAAGGAAATAAAGGGGAATTATTAACATATAACAGCTGTAAAAGTAGTCTTGAAGCAGATAACTACTTTTCAGGTGAGAAGCATCGTCCAGTTTCTTACCTCTTATCGTTGATTCATAATCAGTCCCCATAATATTGTGACAATTGTCTGGCAGCCGTCTTGAAAAACCTGGATTGATCTCAGAGCTGTACATGTCAGAAAAATAATCCTGCCTCTCCTGGGGATGGAAAACATCATGGTGTAATAATGACTAGACACTTGCCTGCAGATCAGAAGGTTGTGAGTTCAAATCTGAATGAGCCGGACTTATTTCAGAAATGATCTAAACTCCCAGATCAACCCAGCCTCAGATGAGTACCAGGTAAACTCCTGGGAAGTAAAAATGGCCGGCATATTGACCACATCAGTCAGTGAATGTTGATTGGTCTTTAAAATGTAGGTCTAGAAGGAAATGTCTGAAGGTGTCCAAAGAGGTCCTTTACTTGGAGTGGAGCCTGGACCAATAATTGGATCCATGATTGACATCACTGCCCTGGGGACTTTCCCCACACATGCCCTGTCTTCTTCCTCAGTAGCCAATGAAGAGTTGATCCTGTTAGTACCGTCAGTAAACAAGCAGATCAGGCATATAAAGCCAGGCTCTCATTTGTATAGACCAGTCGGCCCTCAACATATTGCCAACTGCCTTTACTTCCCAGGGCTTAACCTGATACCCATTTAAGACTGGGTCAACATAGGAGCCAATGTTACACATGCCAAAAAAAAAATCCGGCTCCATCACCCCCTTTCCCCCCACTTGCATGGCCTTATTTCTGTTTCTTCTCTGTTTGCGTATGAGATGATGTTATTAGTTCCAAACCATACTCCATCACTGAAATAATCAGTTGCTGGTAGAGTGTATAGAGCAATCTCTGTTCCATATCAGCTGATGCCATTACCTTCAACATATTGAGTACTTTCCTAATGTTTGTAACTACCTCATCTGCATGGTATTTGAAAGACAGGCTCCTGTCAAAAGTTATTTTATTGAATTATCTCTCTCTGTGTTTCTATAAGCAAGTGCAGTACCCACTATATCACCATGTTTTATGTTTCAAGTGTAAGTTTACTGAGCTTGTCTGTATATTTGCTTTATGATAAAATTGATAAAAAATGCAATTGTGACTATAAAGACAACTTTAATAATTAATTCACAATTGTCCATTTATAGCCTTAGATGCTGTCTAACAGTTCATATATTATCCTAGAACTCTTTTTTGCCCTAAAACATTTGTAGTCTTTACTGTGGCTTGTCGTTTAAATAATCCTGAAAGAAACTACTGTATCCTTACAGAGATCACTCATTGGCTTGGCCCGAGACTTACGAGGAATTGCTTTTGCCTTCAGTAACAAAACTAGCTACATGATGCTGTTTGATTGGATGTATCCTTATTGTTTATTACTTTGCCTCATACCTTTGGTGACTTCAGACAATAGTTTTTATTTGTAATTTGCTAGATATCTCATAACTTTTTGCATTGACTTGATATAATTTTTTTCTTGAAATTTTACCTTTTTTTTAAAAAAGTGTTCTTTGAAATTTTAAGTTCGTTTCCTATGACTTAAAAAAAAAATTATTTCTTGGCTGTTGTAGAAATTTTTTTTTAACGAAAAAAAATTGATTAATGGCGTTATAAAGGGAATTATGTCATGTTGAATAGTTAGACCTGTGGTCCACTCCCAGTCGAGAAATGATGCTAGATAATCAGTGATAATGGCAGGAAGGAATGTCTTCAGTAAAAAAATGACCCTTCCTGTATGGGTTCCGGGACCACCTTCCCCCTTTTTTGTTGTGTGTGTGTGTGGGGGGGGGGGGGGGCAATGGGTAGAATAGACTCATTATCCCCCCTAAAAAGCATATAATTAAAAAAAAATGGGTACCCAGTAATGTCCTGGGAAGTAAAGGTGGATGGTAAGATGTTGACCATATTACCCATTGATTTGTGGGTGTTGATTGGTCTATACAAATATGATTCTAGATAGCGCTGTACCTATACTGAAAATGACTTTATTAATACCTTGTTTAATATCAAACAATATTGTCACTTCAAAAAAAGATTTAGGGTTTATAAAATTTCATGGGTCACATAGGTCCCATGTTTGAGAATAGGTTAATATCCCCCAGAAAACAAAGTTTTCTAGTAGATTAGATCAGGACTAGTAGGTACTGTGTTGTAACGATTAGGCACTCGCCTATGGATGAACAAGTCATGGGTTCAAATCTTTTGGCGGGGTTGGGGGGGGGGGGGGGGGGGGGGGGGGGGGCTAACATTCTAGAATGTAAAGGAAACTGGCGGGATCTTTGCCACATCCCTCAGTTAGTGCTGATTCATCTATAAAATATAGGTCCAACACCATATGCCTAAAGGCGTGGAAGAGAGCCCTTTTATATCAGGACTTTCCAGTCCACTGCAGTAAAAGTCTAACATGCAAAAGAAGCAAAGTACTCATTTTGTGGTGTAGGTAAATGAAATCCCAGGTCTGCAGGCTGCATACTGTTGGCTACAAGAGAGATAGCCCATGATGTATGAGATGTTCAATATATGGAAGTGAGGTTAAACAGTCATGAGCAGGACGTGACGATTCCTTGGGTGAGCCCAGTACCAGAGCACCATGTGTTGGCTCTGCATTTGTGGAAGCCTCCTTGGATGGCGGGGAATGCTCATGTTCTGCCCCTGACTTCTCTTGAGAGCTGATCAGCATTAGTGGCCTCTCTGGACCAGCCTGATTGGAGCACCACCTGTGACCTGGGAAATAAAGATGACCACACAACAATGAGACTGCCATGTCCTAACCAGGAAGGCTAACCCGGTCAACAAATGCCCGCAGAAGTCAGATGTGTTGGCCGAGAGGTGCAAATATTGCAGCCATGCTGTAAATGGACACAACGCAATTACATCTTCGGATGAACGTAGAAAAAGATATCAGGACTTTCAATCTAATACATTTGAAAACTTGAAAACCCTTACATGACTGGCCAGCTACCAGACGTATATACCCATGTTTCAAAGAGCAATAGAACTCTGGTACCATGAGCCTGGAGTCACCACACCCATTCTCAAGTTGTTTACAGAACTCGCACAAAATAGGTATGTTCACTATTGTGTCATATTTAAATAACTAATTCAGTCCTGAGCAACTCATCATGTGTTTACCGGTTTTGCTCATTTACTGGTTTCTCTTGTGTACTGATATCTCTACTTGTTTCTCTCATTTATTGTTTTTATCTCGTTTATCGGTTTCTCTCATTTACTGCTTTCTCTCTTATTGGTTTTTCTTATATACTGGTTTTTTTCTTTAACTGGTTTATCTTTAACTGGTTTATCTTTTTCCCTGGTTTCTCTCTTTTACTGTTTTTTCTCTTTTACTGTTTACTCTCTTTTACTGTTTTCTCTCTTTTACTGTTTTCTCTCTTTTACTGGTTTCTCTCTTTTACTGTTTTCTCTCTTTTACTGTTTTCTCTCTTTTACTGTTTTCTCTCTTTTACTGTTTTCTCTCTTTACTGTTTTCTCTTTTTTTTCTCTTTTTTACTGGTTTCTCTCTTTTACTGTTTTCTCTCTTTTATTGTTTTCTCTCTTTTACTGTTTTCTCTCTTTTACTGGTTTCTCTCTTTTACTGGTTTCTCTCTTTTACTGTTTTCTCCCTTTTACTAATTTCTCTCTTTTACTGTTTTCTCTCTTTTACTGTTTTCTCTCTTTTACTGTTTTCTCTCTTTTACTGGTTTCTCTCTTTTACTGTTTTCTCTCTTTTACTGTTTTCTCAAATTTACTGTTTTCTCTCTTTTACTGGTTTCTTCTTTTACTGTTGTCTCTCTTTTACTGGTTTCTCTCTTTTACTGTTTTCTCTCTTTTACTGGTTTCTCTCTTTTACTGGTTTCTCTCTTTTACTGCTTTCTCTCTTTTACTGGTTTCTCTGTTTTACCGGTTTCTCTCTTTCACTGATTTCTGGTGACCTCTATCACTTAGGTGTACCAGACAATGTGATGTCAACATGGCTTTAAGGAAACCATTATGGTTATAATGGATACATCCCCCTCCCCCAATGTCATATTTAGTTAATATATTCATATCCAGGTTTCCGAAGCACCGCTGCACATATATACATAGAGCCACTGGACTTTAACTATGCTTCTGGAGAACAGATCACCGCAGAAATGCTGTCATCATCATCATCAGCATTTATGGGACTGTGTCACAACTGGAAGTAACTAGATGTAGTCCTCTGAGGGGAGCACGGTTATTGCAGCTGAAACTGTGCTCAGTAAATCCCTGCCTGATCATTTCAAATGTTCAAGGGTTGTTTAAAGGCAAGAGGATCAACTCAGTTGCATTTTCTCTCATATAGCTTGACGTTTATCTGCATAATGTCATTTGGAGGTTGTCATACTGAGCATGAAACTTTGTAGCTCCAGTGCAGATATCACAGCCTAGCTGTAAACCACAACACAGTGTGCAAACCACAATTTTATGGGTGAACGCCGAAGACTATTATTATTATTAAAACCCATGGTGACATTGCTTTCATAGTTATGTGGGATTGTGTGGTTTTTATTTTAGAAGATGGATAGGGATGCCATGAAAGTTAGTTTTTATGTGAAGTTATTGCTTCTGGTTGTAGCTTGTGAAACCATTGTGTGATTTATTACTTTTTCTTTTTAGGTCCCAGCGTCTTCAGTTTGATGTGTCTTCTCCAAATGGAATTCTTCTGTTTCGTGAAATCAGCAAAGTAATTGTTTCCTATGGTATGTATATTTTCTATCTGGTTTATAATACAAGGGTGTTCTAATATATCTTCTTCTTTCTTTGAGTGCCAATAAGTACATGTTAATTTGTTTATAAAGGGTGTTTGTGCACTGTGGGGATTATTTATAGCTGAACTTATTTGTACCTCACTGTTGATAAGTAAGGGGGTTTTCGCTGGAGAATGGTTAGCCGTTTGCCTCACACTCCGAAGTCCCTGGGTTCATTTCACGGGCGCGTTTTTTTGGTTTACGAGTGCAGTTTTTACATGAGTCTCCAGGAATTGTTTCTACAACTAGCTTGTGCTTTTAGCAGTATTGGATAACCTGTACAATGTTGGATAATGTGTGCAATATTGGATAACCTGCACAATATTTGATAACGTGTGCAAAGAAGTCGATAAGTTTGTGACTATTTTAGAATGTCTCTTGTGCACAAGAGGTTCTTCCACCCACATCAGTTCAGAAAATACAGACATCTCATCTCCCCACTCAAGACAATAACTCTTGATAGGTTATGTTTCTCATATAAATTAGATATGAGCCAAACAGCGTCTGTCTAATCAGTGTTTTTGTGCTGAACAGACTCCAGATCATGTCTTGCAAGTCTGTCCTCTCCTGGAGGAGCTACAAGGCAACAAAAAAAAAAAAAAAAACACTCCCAGAATCACATGAAGTGAAAGAGTTAAACTTTCCACCATTTTGCTCCATAAAAAAATATTTTTTTCTTTTTCACGTTCAATGGCTGTAAACTCTTCTAGTTGTTCAGCCACTTCTAGGCTGTAGTCTTGTTCCAGAACCTGAGTGTGGTGGGCACATCTATCCTACAGATCTAACTCATGTATATACAGATTGTTCACTCTTTGCCTCTCAGGCCGATGCACCCCGACTTTGAAGGAAGCTCCCACTTAGTCAACCCTAATGACATCTTTTTGGGTGGGCAGTGGGTCTATTCTTGTTTTCCCCACAAAGGGACCCCGGAACCCACACAGGGAATTCATCTTCCATCTGCTGTGTAACAGGGATAGCTGCTTCTGCTTAATTTTTGTTTGTTTTCTGTTTTTCCTCAGGGTCAAGAATCCTCACCGTTGGCAACATACCAAAAGATCGAATATATCCAATGAAATATCCTTGAACTTGGTTTTTTTTTTGGTAGTAGTTTTGTTTCAAGTGGCTTTATGGTAGTAGTTGTGTCCAAGTGGTTTTATGAAGATAAAACTGCTCTTCTGAAATAGCTGGAACATATGATGTAGACCCTGTTAGTCTCATTCTTGATGAAGGAAACTCCTAATTGCCCATCCATCCAAGTGGGGGGGGAGACACATAGTTGTGCGGCAAATGTAGCTCTGGAGTCCAGCTATCTGCTGGTGGGAATTTCTATAACTTCTATAACTAAATACGAATAGAGCTGAGATTTTCGGCTCTGTGGCTAAGTCGATGCGAGCGCTTCGTAATGCCTGGGTGCCGAGTTCGATCCCAGCTGCGGGCTATGCGCCTTGCGTTGGTTTCTACAGTGGTATCAGGAAGCCGACCATCCAGAAAGCAATGGCAAACTACTAGATGTAAATTTGCCTAGAAAAACCACACAACAACCAGGGGCTGCTGGGGTTGGTTCTGCAACGTCCTGTAAAGGATACACAACTAATAAAAAAGAGCTGAGATTAAATTGATTACCTTCCCACAGAGCTAAAAAAAAATGTACACAGTTATTTATACCGTAACAACTAAAGCAAATGATGAAGTTATAATGACTATACAAAGCTGATATATAGACATATTAGGGACTGGCCAAAGCTGAATTGTAACAAGTGGCAGTGTTGAAATACCACCACCTCAGGGGAAAAAAGAGCTACAACAATGGCAGATCCAGCAGACTGGCAGAGATGTTACAAGAAGGAAGACCAAAAATCTAAGAAGAAATGGACTGAATAAATGCATAGAGAAATCCTCTACCTCATTACCATGTGGGGGAGTACACCTTCTTGAATTCTTTATCTTGTAATGGCAACAACACTATATGCAGACTTTATATTGGAGATGGACATCCTAAGTCTAATCCACTTCACACCTTACCCCATATTTTCATATTACACATAAATTCTTAGACTGCAGAGTGCTATATTAATTACCATTTTGGTAGCATATATTCACTCACGTTCTTATTATTTTACCATTTTGGTAGCAGTGTTGCACTCACGTTTTTATTATATTACCATTTTGGTAGCATATATACACTCACATTCTTATTATTTTACCATTTTGGTAGCAGTGTTGCACTCACGTTCTTATTATATTACCATTTTGGTAGTAGTGTTGCACTCACATTCTTATTATATTACCGTTTTGGTAGCAGTGTTGCACTCACGTTCTTATTATATTACCATTTTGGTAGCAGTGTTGCACTCACATACTTATTATATTACCATTTTGGTAGCAGTGTTGCACTCACATTCTTATTATATTACCGTTTTGGTAGCAGTGTTGCACTCACGTTCTTATTATATTACCGTTTTGGTAGCAGTGTTGCACTCACATACTTATTATATTACCATTTTGGTAGCAGTGTTGCACTCACATTCTTATTATATTACCATTTTGGTAGCAGTGTTGCACTCACGTTCTTATTATATTACCATTTTGGTAGCAGTGTTGCACTCATATACTTATTATATTACCATTTTGGTAGCAGTATTGCAGTCACATATTTATAATACCATTTTGGTGGCAGCGTTGCACTCACTCACTTATTATATTACTATTTGCTAGCGATGTTGCACTCACATACTTATTATATTACTATTTTGGTAGCCATGTTGCACTCACATACTTATTATATTACTATTTTGCTAGCGATGTTGCACTCACATACTTATTATATTACTATTTTGGTAGCCATGTTGCACTCACAGACTTATTGTCTTAACTGTGATCAAGTTAAAGGGCATATCAATATGTTTCTCCATGCTGAAAGCAGTCCTATGTGGCAACTATGTCAACTTTGGTGTGTTCCGGCTGTATGGGGACAGTGCACTGGATGATGTGCTGTCCATGTTTGTGAAATTGCTGTTGTCTATACCACAAAATGATCTGCTGGTAAGTATGTCCGTTTTAAATCAGGTAGTTCAGTCATATTAAGAGCAGAAATACAATCTAGAACACATTCAAGCGGTTAAAGTATATACTAAGCCTTAAGACAGAGCTATTTCGCTGGCCTTCAGAAGAGACCTAGCAAGTGGGCCTGTAGATTCATTGCGTTTTGTGTGTATTGTATGAATGATCTTTCATGTGCCTGGTTCGAAGGGCCCTCTACCCCACGATGATCCCAACATTTTAACATTTTGGGCCATGCAA